TCAGCGGCCTGACGTAGAAGACAAAAAGCATAGGAGTAAGGCAGCGGTACGACGTAACGGGGGAAAGCCTACACGGATACTCGAGTCATATTATGACATGCCATACGTGAGATTATAGGTTGCAGGTAAGCAATTTGTAGAGGAACGCGTCGCTTGTTGCCTTTCCGATTGCCGGTGCTCAATTTCCGCGCTAGCAGGGGTATCCAACCACCTGTTTCCAGGTCTGTACGCCTTTACTTCAGTCGAAGTGCAGACACAAATCAGACGCGTCTCGATTATGGCTGAACTGTTTATTTGTATGTATGCAAACTTGTTCTGAGATGGACATGTGCTCACGAATGGATAGTCACCGAGACCGTCTTCACGTTATCACATTATCACATTATCATCATTGGTGACCACAAGTTGTAAGGGATATGAAAGTGTCCATAGGCTCTAAGCTACAATCTTAAGATCCTTACTACACCTTCATGTGAGCTCAAGCTCCTCCATAACTCAAACACCCAACCATTGGCCCGCTGTGCTATTTTGTGGACAATCGACATGTGTAAAACCCCGGGATAACAAGGCGCCAATACAAGGATGCCCCCGCTACTAGGCTTGTCATGATTTCGAGAACCGTACGCAGGAACACGCTAGGAAGAAAACCGTCAGTCGATGAATCGCTCGGACGCATGACTGCCAGTACCTTAGAAGCACTTGCGGTGGACGATGGAGGGACCGCTCTCGTCGTACTCCTGCTTTGAGATCCACATCTGCTGGAAGGTGGAGAGGGAAGCAAGAATGGAACCACCGATCCAGACGGAGTACTTGCGCTCCGGGGGAGCGATGATCTTGACCTTCATCGAGGATGGGGCGAGGGCGGTGATTTCCTTCTGCATACGGTCGGAGATACCGGGGTACATGGTGGTACCACCAGACTGGTTGCTGTTAGCTGTGTGCTTTGCAGGATTGTAGCATGTAACATACCATGACAATGTTGCCGTACAGGTCTTTCCTGACGTCGACATCGCACTTCATGATGGAGTTGAAAGTGGTGACGTGGATACCACCGCTCTCAAGACCCAAGACGGAAGGCTGGAAGAGAGCCTCAGGAGCACGGAAACGCTCGTTGCCAATGGTGATGACTTGACCGTCAGGAAGCTCGTAGGACTTCTCCAAGCTGGAGGACTGGCTGGCGGTCTGGATCTCCTGCTCGAAGTCGAGAGCGACGTAGCAGAGCTTCTCCTTGATGTCACGGACGATTTCTCGCTCGGCAGTGGTGGAGAAGGTGTAACCGCGCTCAGCCAAGATCTTCATGAGGTAGTCAGTCAGATCACGACCAGCCATGTCGACACGGGAAATGGCGTGGGGAAGAGCGAAACCCTCGTAAATGGGGACAACGTGAGTGACACCGTCACCGGAGTCAAGAACGATACCGGTGGTACGTCCGGAGGCGTACAGGGACAGGACGGCCTGAATGGAGACGTAGAAAGCGGGAGCGTTGAAGGTCTCGAAAACAATCTGTGTCATCTTCTCACGGTTGGACTTGGGGTTGATGGGAGCCTCGGTGAGCAGGACGGGGTGCTCCTCGGGGGCAACACGCAGCTCGTTGTAGAAAGTGTGATGCCAGATCTTCTCCATGTCGTCCCAGTTGGTAACGACACCGTGCTCAATGGGGTATCGCAGGGTCAGGATACCACGCTTCGACTGTGCCTCATCACCGACATATGAGTCCTTCTGGCCCATACCAATCATGATACTGTGTGTTGTTAGATGGCGGATTGCGTGGGAATTACGGGAGGTTCATCGTACCCATGGTGACGCGGTCGGCCGACGATGGAAGCTGCGAGCTGTCAGAAAGTGCTCTCAAATCGCGCTTGATGCAGCCTTGGCTGATAAGGCGGAGATGGAGGTACTTACGGAAGACTGCTCGGGGCGCATCGTCACCGGCGAAACCGGCCTTGCACATACCCGAACTGTCAACTGTCAGCTCAAGCTCGTTTCATCTCTGCCCCCTCGCGCGCTGCTGTGGACGGGTTCGTCGCGGCTCGGATAAGGCGAGGGCGCGGATAGCCCCTCCACAGCAGGGATGGCGGTGTTGGGCTTCGGCGGTGCCAACTCACCCATTGTCGATGACGAGGGCTGCGACTTCCTCTGTAGTAGGCAATAGAGGTTAGCAGAGCTCATTGAGATAGAGAGTAGGGTGGACGGCGATGGTTAGGACACGGGGCGGTAGGGGTGGAGCTTGCTTACCCTCCATGTTGATTGATTAGGGTGAGATTAGAGTAGACGTGGAGTTGTAGAAGGGTGTCTGTGTAGAGTCGCTGGAGCAATTGAGCGTCAGTGTTTAAGCTCAGAGATGCAGCTAGCGGTGAAAAAGTAAAAAGGGTACGGAGGTGTTCGGGGAGCTTACAAGTTCGGCGGCGGTGTTGAGGTTGAGGTTTCTGGTGCGCAGAGGCAAGAACTGGGTGTGCTAAATAAGCGGGTCGGCCTTGCCCAGATTTAGCGGGGTGGCAGGAGCGCAGGCGCGAAGGAGGCTTTGCACGAACGGGCGGCTCCTAAAGGGGATTGTGTATAATTTCAGCGTTTGGGCAGTTGGCTCACGACGATCACGGCATTGGCTATCTTATATCTGTTGGTGGAATTATGCAGCCTAGAGCCATCATCTTCTGCCCTGGTGGTACGCACTTGGAGAGTACGCAAGCTCCCCGCCACAGCATGAAGGAAGCTGCTGTCGACGCACGTCAACTCTACCAGACCGCCAGGCAGCGGTGTTAAATCCTTGGCGTATAGCAATCATAGACACTCCACTAGGACCTACGTGTTCTCGACGGCGCGCTGTGAATGCATAAGTCGGGAGCAAGCACAAGTCAGTCCCCAGCCATCCGCGGCTGCTCACCGCCAACTCGCCATATCCCCGCCCATTCCGAATACGACGGGTGGTTGGTCACGTGTGCGGAGGGGCAGTCAACGTGCACCTAGCCAAACGAGCATTTGTAGCACCAACTCAAGTCTCGATGCTAGCATGTCGTGATTATGTCATTTCAGGTCAACATCGAGAATTCACACAAACACGCCGTTTCCATTGTGTTTGTCACGTTGACACCATGTGATTGATGGTGTTGACAGCTGCGTTGCTGTGTTGGGCAGCATGTCCCATGGAAGGCCCGCGAAGCTGCTGGTCCCCTCGCCAGGCGTCGGCGTCATAAGGCCCGCCAAAATTATTCAATGTCTACACACCCCGCAGCCGTTTTCCTTCTTCACACAAGAAACCGCACATCAAACACATATCCGACAACATGAACGATCCAGGACTAAACAACCTCCTCAAATGGGGTATTCAAAACTCCGAGGCCTCGCGCACCGATGTCGCCGCCGCCGACCAACCGCCGCCACAACTCGACGCTGAGGCGCTGCAACGGCTCATGACTGGAATGTCAGGTCCCTCGGATGCGCAATTGATGCAAGAAAGTATGCAAGTCATTCAAAACGAGGAGGCAGAACTGGAGCACCGGGTAACCGCATTCGACAACTTTGAGCAACTCATCGAGAACCTCGACAACGCGAACAACATCGAGAGCCTGGGACTGTGGACGCCTCTCGTGGAACAACTGGAGAACAAAGATGCTGAACTCCGACGCTACGCTGCATGGTGTTGCGGTACTGCCGTCCAGAACAACATCAGAACACAAGAACGGGTAAGTAGTCTTCAATCCTGCGCGCCTATGGGTCATGCTAACAGATCCCAGCTCCTTGTAGTCGGCGCTATCCCTACCCTCGTTCGTATGGCAACCTCAGATGCCGAGAACAAGGTCCGCAAGAAGGCCATCTTCGCCCTTTCGTCATCCGTTCGCAACTTCCAGGCCGCGCTCGATGCCGCCGTTGAGCACATGCCTGCCGAGTTCAAGCCCCAACAAAAGTTGGACGCTAACGACATGGAATCAGTCGACGTTTTGATCAACAAACTCCGCGAGAGTGTATAACCGCATCGGATCTGGATTGCATTGGGTTGGCGTTACGGTACTTGGAATGTCAGCATGAAACGGCGCATAGAGGGAAAAAGGTTGAACATAGGGGACGGGCGGAAGACATACCCGAGATTTGACGAAGGAACGCTTGGGCACATGATCCCATAGTTCATCACGTCGAGCATTGCATAGACTAAAGCAATACGAATTCGACGATCTCTTATATGACCCCCAGCACAAGACCAATCAGCTCGCTGAATGCTTCTCTTCCAACCATGCTCTTGTCCAATCCCATACCAACCACAACCATTCTGGTTTCCCTGTCGTCGCGCTGTTTGATAGCACTGGCAATCTGTGTCGCGAGCGTTTGTCCAAGAACATCAAGCTCCGCTATCGTACCGCCAAGTATATTTGTAGCCGTGAGATGGTGCATAGGAAGGAGGTCTGAGTTGGGATCGTCTTCGTCGCGTTCAAGGGAGGCATTCGAAGTCATCGAAGCATCGGTTGCAGAGATATCGAGAGGAACATGTACCTAGGCAGTATCAGCAAACGTCATCACAATGTATCGTATATATGAGCATACCCAATGTGCTAATCGTCCATTTTGCGTGACAGTGATGAGAATCTTGTCCGCAAAATTGACCGCCGTTGCTGTGGTCTTTATACTCTTGATCATCGAGGTGGATGTGCTGGTACGCGCTGGGTATGGGGCAGGCGTCACGGTATAGTCGTCTGAAGTGGTGGGTGCTGCCATTGCGTTTGTGTTCGTGCGGTGGTATGTCTGGTGCAGAGGGGCAGCTGCAATCGTAAAGGTATTACGATGGAGTGTGAGCTGAGTGCCTTGTATTCGCCAGCTACCGAGAATGTATGCGTGCCAGTAATATGGTGATTCGAGCTGCTCTTGTGTGCCTCGTTGTTTGTGTTGTTGCGTCTCTGGCCAACAGCCCACTCAACTTGCGCGGGAGTGATGCGGAGTTCGCCCGCTAGCGTCTGATCCCCACCAAAAACTTTCGGGCGCCGCGAGCAGTCCTCGACGCCGCAACCACCAAAATGCCCAAGTTTGTGCCGCGACAGCGAAAACACAAGGTTCTGGCCCGTCGCAAGACGCCGGCGAACGATGCCACTATCGACGCCAATGCGACCGAGATTCTGCCCCAGGAGGAGCAAGAGCGCGCTCAGAAAAAGGCTGCGCTCAAGGATGAGCTCACACGAGAGTCACAGGGCAAGATGAGCGGCAAGAAGAAGAAGCGCCTCGACAAGTACATTGTACGTCGAGACACCGTCTGGAGTGGCTTGCAACACTTTTTGCGGCCACATCGCGTTGGGATTGCTGTGTGAAGAACTTCAGGGCTAACTTTTGCAGGACACAAAACTCAAGAAAGAAGAGAACCTTGAACTTCTAAAGAAGCTCGCATCCCAAAAGGTCGACACCAGCTTGTTCCAAAGCTCCAAGAAGCTTGGTCGAGGGGCGGATACCAAGAGAGAGGCACTGAGGCGGGCGCTGGCCGAGAGTAGAGCCGGCATAGATGTAGAAAAGAACGAGGGCATGATTCTTGAGAAGCGCGACTTCAGGGAAGTCGAGGACCACAGCTCCGACGACGATGACGACGACGACGATGAACAAGTACCGGTATCTGCTCCGAAACCAACCGTACAACAAACCTCTTCACAAACAGCGCAAACCGACGCGCCCTTACAAGAACGCGCACCGTCACCGTCACCCTCCGAGCCCGAAATCGACGTCTCTCAACCGACTACGGGAATCTTTGCGGCCCTAAGGCAGACTGGTGGACTCTTTGGAAGCGGCCTGAAGAGGCCTCTAGAAGTTGACGAGTCAGGCAAACCCGTCATACAAGTAAGAAAGCGCAGGAAAGGTCAGAGCAACAAACCTGTCGTGGTTGAAGATGAGGTAGCATGGGAGGGCTTCAGCTCGGGTAGTGAGAACAATGAGCAGGATGATGAGGACGAGTCAGAGCCTTCTGGTGCTGAGTCTGAAGACTCTGGCTCAAACTCTGAAGAAGAAGCATCACCTTCAGGATCCGAAGCGTCAGACGAATCTGGAGACTCTGAAGACTCGGAGGACGACAGCGATGACGATAGCGACACAAGTCCTGACGAGGAAAACAAGGTCGCAAAGAAGGAAAGGGCATCAGCTTTCAAAGCATGGGCCACGCAGCAAAGGAATGAGCAAGTAGGATTTCCCCCGAAAAACCAACTTTCTTACGCACCGATTCCCGCCAATTTCAAACCTCGAGCTCCCGAGCAAGATCCTCTACCCCCAGAACTCGAGACGAAAACTGCGACCGACGGGATACGGAAGGCCTTCAGCGTCAACGTCGAACGATCGTCCGAGATACAGGAATCAAGATTGAAGCTTCCCATTGTAGCGGAAGAACAGAAGATTATGGAGGCTATACACAACAACGACGTGGTGGTAGTTTGGGGTGCCACCGGTAGTGGTAAGACCACGCAGGTGCCCCAGTTTCTCTTAGAGTCTGGATATGGAGCACCAGATGGTCCCACACCTGGTATGATTGGAGTCACGCAACCACGTCGTGTAGCTGCTGTCAGTATGGCGAAACGTGTTGGTGATGAACTTGGTGACCAAAGTACGAAAGTCGCGTACCAGATCCGATTCGATACGTCAACGAGTGCCAAAACCGCTATCAAGTTCATGACTGATGGTGTGTTGCTGCGAGAGATCACCCAAGACTTTGTACTGACAAAGTATTCTGCGATTGTCATCGATGAAGCTCACGAGCGCAGTGTGAACACCGACATTCTCATTGGCATGCTCAGCAGGATAGTGGATCTCCGCGCACAGATGGTCAAGGAAGACCCAAAGAATAAACCTCTGAAGCTGATCATCATGTCTGCTACTCTACGCATTTCGGACTTCACGGAGAATAAACGCCTATTCAGAAGCGAGCCACCTCCTCTGATCAAAGCAGAGGGTCGTCAGTATACCGTTGTAAACCACTTCTCACGTCGTACACAACGAGACTATGTTGAGGAGATGTATCGCAAGGTGTGCAGGGGTCATCGAAAGCTGCCAAAGGGCGGAATGCTTGTCTTCCTTACTGGTCAGAACGAGATCTCGCAACTCGCGAAGCGGTTGAAGGAAGCCTTTCCTTCCACACAGGGGCGGGAGGTGAAGGCTGGCAAAGTCGTGATCTCTCCGGCAGAGACGCCGCTAGAAGCAGAAGACATTGAGCTAGGTGGGCAGGCCGAAATCCAGGACTACTTAGACGATGATGGTTCGGATTCAGAAGGCTCTGTAATCATGGGACTTGATGATGAGGACGACAAAGAATTTGAGATCGAGGACGAAAAACCGGAGGAGACCGTCATGAACGTCCATGTTCTACCTCTTTACTCGCAGCTGCCCACAAATCAGCAGCTGCGGGTGTTTGAGCCACCTCCCGATGGTTCTCGTCTAATTGTCCTTGCTACAAACGTCGCAGAAACCAGTTTGACGATACCTGGTATCCGCTACGTATTCGATTGCGGAAGAGCCAAGGAAAAGAAGTACGATCTCATTACTGGCGTTCAAAGCTTCGAAGTAGGATGGATTAGCAAAGCCAGCGCCAACCAGCGATCGGGTCGAGCCGGCCGAACCGGTCCTGGTCACTGCTATCGCTTATACTCATCGGCCGTGTTCGAGCGAGACTTTGATGAGTATGCAGCTCCTGAGATTTCACGAACACCCCTGGAGGGCGTAGTGCTGCAGTTGAAGAGCATGGGCGCACCTGTTGTCAACTTCCCTTTTCCAACATCACCAGATAGGGAGAGTCTGCAAAAAGCTGAGAACCTGCTCTCGTATCTGGGGGCACTATCTCTGGATGGCAAGGTTACCAAGCTTGGTCACGAACTTTCGTTGTATCCTCTCAATCCGCGATTCGCCCGTATGGTCGCTATGGGTGTTGCGCAGAACCTCGCAGCTGAGACCATCGCACTGGTAGCGGCTTTGTCTGTGCCGGAACTCATTGTGCCGGAAAACAATCTGGGTCTTCGTGAGCCAACTAGAGATCCTGACGCCATTCGTACAGACCAGGACAACATCGAAGCCGAAGAGCGCTCACGGCTGCGCAGAGCTTACAACGCCGCACAGGCTAAAATGAGCATCAACGCGAAGCAGAGTGATTGCATCAAGCTCAGTAACGCAATCTGTGCCTACGCATACGAGCCTGACTCGCACCGATTCTGCGAAGACATGTTCCTCAATCCCAAATCCATGAATGAAGCTAGCCAGCTCCGCCACCAGCTCACCAATATCGTTCGTGCACATCGACCTACCGCCATCGGAACGTACAACCCAAAACTTCCAGCACCTTCAGAGCGAAATATCAATCTCCTTACCCAGATATGCGCGGCAGGCTTCATCGACCAGATTGCTATGCGCGCTGATCTTGCTCCTGTGCCTCCCGAGCTTCCGAGGAAGCCTAAGACTGCCATCGATGTGCCATACGTCACGCTATTCTCCTCACAATTAGAGCGTTCGGACGACCCACATTCGAAATACGTCTTCTTACACCCGTCTTCTATACTTGCGCGTACGCCACCAGCGAAGATGCCAGGATATATAATCTACTCGCATCTCCAGCGCGCGGCAACGTCCACGATTACTGGCAGTCGGACACCGAAGACGCGCATGCATCCTCTTACTCCTGTTACGAGGCCACAGATTATCAATATTGCGCTCAACACACCGTTACTACAAGCAAGTAAACCGAAGGGTAAGATTGCAGAGATTAGTAAGGATAAGCGGGAGTGTGAGGTCGAGATGAGCCTCATGGGTGAGAAGGGTAGCCAAGGATGGGGTCTGGGCATTAGAAAGGTGGTGCAAAGAAAAGAGCCTGGCGGACGATATGTTATTGAGCGAATACTTGGTTGAAGATAAATCGTGACGGAACGTAACAATATATTGAGATACCCGACAAACGACTTCGCACCTATACCTACACACTCTTGACGGTTGTCTACACACTTACCGTACACTGATCTAATCCCTCGACACACTTGTCTCAACAGCAACCTTCTCATTTTGAAACACAGCAACTTCCTTCTCCCTCTCTACACTGCTCCTCCCCTTGCCCTCATCATCGTGCCTTGCAGCGCCCACACATTTGTAACTACTAAATTTCCTCGCAGGTAGCTTAGCCTCAAACATCTCATCAATCTCTTCTAATGTCCTATTCTTTACCTCAGGAAGGAAGAAGAAGACCCATGTAGCAGCAATTGCACAAGACGGCGCCCAAATGAAACCATATCTCGGCCCCCAATTCATAGACTGCGGATTGATAAAGTATGGTGCGGTAAAGGTAGTGAGCCATGCGCCCACGAAACCGGCACTGGCAGCCAGACCAAATGTATGGGAGCGCAGACGCTGATTCGGGAGTTCGCCACCGGAGAGCCAGGCGTAAGTCGATATCATGCCGTTGTAACTGAACATGTAGATGGCGGTTAGACCAACTGTAACTTTCCCGGTTGACTTTGCGTTAGGCGCTTGGTGATATACGACGGCGATGATGAGTTGGAGGATGCCGCAGACAAGTAGGCCGGTCATGAGAAGCACGCGCCTGTTTCCGTAACGTACCACAATGAAGGAGTTTGCGATGAAGGCCACTATGCTGATGGCGGATAGGACATTAGACATGGCGAAGGGATCGGAAACCTTTGCCATCTGGAGAAAGTATGCTTTGTATGCAATGATGAACATGGAGCCCGATGCTGCTTGGAGTAAGACGGCGAAGACGGCGAGGAAAGTACGGCGGCGATCGACGGGGTTGCTGAACATGTCGAGCCATCCTATGCCAGAACTTGTCTCTTTCTCCTTCTCAATGGCTGCTAAAATGGCGGACGCCTCTGCTCGAGAATCGTGGCGCGCAGGGCGAAGCCATTCGAGGGCTTTTACACCTTCTTCGAAACGACCTTGAAGAATCAGCCAACGCGGGCTCTCCGGGATGAACCATATCGTGCAGATGATGATCAGGGGAAACACGTAAATAAGACCGAGCGGGATAAGGTAGGCGGATTTGTCTGGTCGTTTCGCGGTGGCCCAGTCAATGATGGTGCCAATCAGTGTCCCGAAGGAGACGAAGAAGTTGAAACCTGTCAGAAACACGCCACGAAGTTCCGCCGTACTGCTCTCTTGCAGGTATAGCTGTGAGAAGGTCATGAAGTAGCCGTTCGCGAGACCAATAATGAGACGACCAGCGTAGAGGGCTCCGATGTTTTCCGTAGCCATCATCATGATATTGGCTATAAAGCAAGTAATGCAAGCCGCGACCAGACACATGCGTCGTCCAAAGCGGGTGGATGGAACACCAGCAGTAGCGGAGCTGATGAAAGCTCCCAGCGTCATAAGAGAGGAGATGAGCTGCTGTCTTTCTGTATCGATATTCCATCCCGTAGGTGTCTTGTCGGTTTGATATCCGAATATCTAATATCAGCAGTCAGCCATCAACCCCAAGGAAAGAAGTCATTCAATTGTTTCGTACCTTGAGAAACCCGACCATAGCCTGCAAGCCTCCAATCATACCGAAATCGAACCCATACTGGAATGGGCTAAGGATCACAACACCACACGCAAGGAACAAGCGCGAGTGGTCGCGCCACGTGTAACCATTGTTATCAGACATGGTCAAAAAGTCTGTGGATGAAAACAGAGCAAGGCAGGTGGAAAGCTAGATTCTCCTACAGCGGGAGCGTGGTCGAAGCGACGCCATTCGTTTTGCCTTATACCACGAAGATCATTTGCCCAGTGTGGGCTGAATGCAAGCAGCGACTTTACCCATCTGCCGATACAAGTTATTGCCAAGTCCTCTGTGCAGATAGGCCTGAGTTGTGCGACCCCACAAGTCAGATGGCTCTCCGCTCGTTTAGAGCCAATGGTGGAAGGTACTTGGCGACTTGTGCATCTGTACATGTGGGGAAGAGTTGTGTGGACAGAAGGATGGGTAGTCGGTGGTTTTGTGCCTGAGACTGGTCATGTCTTTGTGTGCTTTGCAGTAGATTACGAACTATATGGAGCCAGGTTGTCCGATATAATCAGAGCGATGAAGATTTGGCTGCAGTTTGCGGGTTGTTCAGCATGAAGCACTGGACAGCAGTCTTCACCTCCGAGGTCTGGAAATAGTCATCCGTGTGTGGCTGGGCCAAGGAAACACAGTTGTTCATGATGAAAGTCGGTATCACAGTACCGTGAAGCAGGTGGATACAGTTGGTTTAGTAACACGCGCTATGAAAAGCAATTGGATAAATGTGAACTGGAGAAGTATGGGGTGCGGGATAGTGGTTGGAGAGTGTGGGTCAGAACGGCTGTTGCGCGGGGAAATTAAAGCTTAGCTATACGGCGTGTTGAGTGGCACCGCGCAGCTGCCAAGGGAACTATACAAGGACGCCGTCTTGCGTGTGTTTGCAGATGCAGGCGTCGGTATGCAGCCAGGGCGAAGTATATCGCGGATTCTCGAAGAAGGATCCGTGGTAAGCCTTCGAAAAGTGCGCCGGCGTACGTATTCAGAATGTACAACCGTTATCCTGCATTTGTTGCCCACAGGCACCGGACGTTTTTCTAAATTTAGTCATGGATTTTTATTTTCTTTGAAGAAAGAACCAGTACTGCTGCCACTGTACAGAGCAATACCCGAATGTATTGTTACCATGCTGAAACTTGACTACGGCGCAATGCTAGCAGACCAAATGAGCGCAACGCTAGTGTGGCCGCGAGTCCACCCCACCATGTTACTTCAATATGCCACGCATAACAACGTCACTCATCCGCAAGGCGCGCGCGATAGACGCTCTTCTTCCTGCTCTTCTTGCGCCGTGTCGCGAACTACAGGCCGCCCAGAACGAGCTGCGATGGCTCCGCGAACACGTCGAGAAAGTCGCGAAAGCGCGTCGCGCCAAAGGAGACACGATAGCTAAGGCTTCTTTGCTACGACAGTTGGTCAGAGAAAGAGCCGCTGGAAAGCCACTACAGTATCTGTTAGGCACGGAATACTTTGGCGACCTGGAGATACGCTGTAGGCCTGGTGTCTTGATCCCGAGGTACAGCATACTACGACTTCGAAAGGATCCATGCCTGACAATGCGAACAGAGCAGATACAGCCGCGTCAGTCACACATCTCGCCAGTCTCCTACGGAATGCGCAAAGTCTCCCTCCAGAAATACGCGTACTTGATCTTTGCACCGGCACCGGCTGTATACCCCTCCTCTTCCACCACGAGATATCCTCGGCGTCGAATAACATAAACCTACGTGTTCTGGGTGTCGACATCTCGGAGAAGGCCCTGCGTCTTGCGAGACACAACCTTCAAAGACTACGCAAGACGCGACAACTTCAAGACAATGGGCCATGGGACTTCCTACAAGCCGACATCATGGTCAATCCCTTCTCAGATCAGACTGAAGGCGTCTTGTCGCTAACAGCTGCCCTCAACTTCAAGAAAATGCCGTCTTTCTGGGATATTCTCATTTCGAACCCGCCGTACATCTCGCCATCCGCCTTCTGGAAAACGACCACGCGCTCAGTCCGCGGTTTCGAACCGAAGCTCGCGCTAGTACCTCCCCACAAGCTCAAGCAGACAGACATAGAGCAAGGCGATGCCTTTTACCCGCGGCTGCTTGATATTGCCAGAGATGTGGAAGCCAAAGTTGTCCTGCTTGAAGTTGCCGATCTGGAGCAAGCGCTTCGCGTAGCACAACATGCACGCAATCTAGACATCTTCGACGGCGTTGAGATATGGCGGGAACAACCCGATGCTAGTGGCGACGCTGAGAGTGAACAAGACTTTGCAGTTATTGGCCAAGGCAACGCCCGATCCCTCCTCTGCTGGCGTGATCGTGGGGCATACTGGCTTGGCAAGATTGCGCCCTTGGCTTCATCAAACGAAGATGCGGATCGCCTCTTTCGAAGCTCCTTCGTCAAAATGAGGGACGCAGAAGAAAAGGCTAGAGAGATCATCAACAAGAAACGGGTTGGAACCACGGTTTGATATGGAGATCGTCTCTGGGGCTGAACACTCTGCTACCCCTCTTCGCCGATGGCCTGATGATAGGCGAATGTCAGATCACTCGAAGGCCAGATGAGCAAAGTGCAAGTCAAGCGCCTTTTCCTCCTCAGCGTCTGCGGACCGAGGTACTGTCTTCTCTAGATTGGACGGATCTCAATCTGCCTATCTCTATGCCAACCTCAAACGTCAAATTAACAAGGATGTCAACGAACCCTTCGACTTCAACCGTCACTCGCAGCTAAACTTTGAGCAAGTGGTATGCGATATTCGGGGTACATCCTGGTTGACACGTCAATACCTCAGTCTCCCATATCATTACATCTCAGACTTCCACCAGCACATTGTTGGGTTGCTAGATGGTCCGTCACTTCACCCACCAATCCGGCTTACGAAGCACAGTTCAAACGTTTTGATAGGACCTCAAGGAATAAGAATCCTTATGACCAGGACAGATATGTGGACTAACAGCATGTTTGTGATCCACTGGCGTCTGTGTGGAGATTCTGGTACTGATAAGAGTTCGAACTACGCTCTTCTCTTCTGAATGGTGCCTAACAATCAAGGTACATTAGATGCATTCACTGCAACTTCCATCTAGAAAAAAAAACTACAAAAAAAGACCTTGTATCCACCTCAGCTGAAGTTCACGTCCGTCTGGGAAGAGGCATGCTACGGCGTATGCGGCAAAGAAAGTGCAATTCGGTTTCGCGGGTACTAGGCCACTTTACAACGACGATTTCAGGACTATAGTAATAAAACTCAGATCTGAACATTGATCACGCTGTTTGAACAGTGCAGAGTCGAATGAGTAATGCTTAATAACGCTACAAGAATACAAAGGAACCATAAAAAGAAACAAAGGATAGCTTCGAGATCCGCATTGCGGACAATACCAAGCACATATTGAGGTCAGACGCGTTGTGCGTGCTTTCTCATTCCAGCAAAGGAGCCTTCTCTTCCACAACTGTAGCCCTACAGGGTGCGAGTCTCGCTATCCTGTGGTATATAATGCTACACAACAATGCGGACATGACTGTCCATGGCATGACGTTAAATATGACGGTATGTAAACCTCCGCTCAAGAGAAAGCCCACAGCGATGCCAGACGTTATGCCTGCGAGAAGAAAGTGGTCTTGGCATTGGTCGCCTACGCTGATCTGGTAGATAATGGTAGACGCGGTGAAGAATGCGACGGTTGAAGCAGCCATGTGGTTAAAGCACGCGGCGCTTGTTTCCGAATGTATCGTAGTTGTTATGAGCCATGATGGCCATCTGTGGCGACCAAGATCGAGTGCCGCTATTGTGTCGACGAGAAAGCTTGTCAAGAGTGCAGTGTAGGATAGGCAGTGGTGTAGCCATGTGGTGGTGCACTCCGGTCGATTACCGTGATGCGAGCAACATATATGCAGTCTGCGCATGCCGAAGAGAGAAAAGCCTCTCAAGTGGTGATGGCTGCTAGATCCAGGCAGAGAAGTGTGCTTAGGTTGTTGGCCGAGTTTGTAAGTAGTAGGTACCAGCGAAGTTGTGTGTGAGCTCGAAGATGCGTTTGTTTGTGAGTGAGGTTCCTTCGTTCATGGCGATAGTCTTAGGTATTTATGTATGTTGTCGTAATGGTAAGATCACGAAGGCTAGGAGGCTAACGGGTAAGGTGAGGGGTTGTTTGCCCTGTTGCGAGAAGCTGCATCAGGCTGAGGCGCAAGCTAGTTACCGGTGTGCGCTGGCCGTGTCCTTCACTATTCTTGACGAATAACCACCAAGGATTCAATTGTTCGCCTGACTCAATAACACTGCTATTGCATGAAAAGAGTGGCTGTGTTCATCAAGCAGCAGTTCTCCTCCTATCGTTCGACCATTCGTAATTTTGGCTCGCATCTTCTGCTATCTGCAGCGAATAGTGACCGGACATGTAATTCCAATTATGCCTCGCTATCTGCACAAAGGCATTGAAAGATGGCTGAGTCTAAAGCACAGCCATGGTATTGTTTGCCTTTTTTCTCTTGCTGACCGGTGATACTTCTCTCAACAAGCTCAGATAGAAACGTAGCGCTGGATCTTTTAGAGTCGGTTCCCTTGGATATTTCTCCTCAAACTTCTCTCCAAACTCGGCATCTGTGAAATTCCCGACTTGAGGTGAACTGCAAAGTAATTTCCGGTCACCCACTCCATGAAAACCCGCTAATTTGATTCTAGATACCATCAGCAGTAGGACCGGACTCTAACACACTGCATCGCACAGGCTCTTCGACAACTTCAAGCAGTACAAAAATCGCTCTTCTGGAGATGGAATCTGCCAAGAACACACCTTTTACACATTTCCGTACGTTCTTCGCACCAGCACAAGAGAAGGAGCACATAGGCGCTGCATTTCACAAATCTTCTAGCGAAAAGTCGACGTCTTATCGTAGTCCAAGGACCTTGGTGCTTCCTAAGACGATCTTGGTTTCTCTGGCGGTTCTCATCATTCTTACGAATATCGTCGTTCCCGTCACAGCAATGGACAACCAAATATCAATGGCATCATACCCCGTCCAGAACAGTCACGGCATTTCCATGGCTAATCCGACTCCTGGGTATCCCATGAGAGGGTTCTTAGTCAGTACAGGCACAATGGCAATCGTCATTGTCGGATACATGGTGACTATGGCAAGTCAAATGCTTGGCCCGTTGATGGGTATAACCAGTGTATTGTGGTTCATCATGCGTAATGACGTAGCAATCCGACCCAGCTTTTCCTGGTCGTATGTATTCCGAGTTTTCTAATCCATTGCTGGACCTTGTTGACACTGTTTAATAGAGTTTTTGGCATTTGGTCCATCGCAACGATGATGTACCTTCGGTATCAAGCTCGCCGAGTGACACTTGACAGGCTGTAAGTATCTACAAACGACATCAAAGTGAGCATATTGCTGATCACACTCAGATATGTACTGCTTACACTGATGTTTGCCGGGATCTGCCTCTCCATTGTTGCACTTGTACAAAAAGCTTCAATACAGAGCGGGCTCGTTACCGCCGTTCCTCCCTGTACTTCCTTTGCGGCGTACGCTGTAGCATTTCTTTTTCCTGATCGTCGACAGCCTCTGCAAGAGTTTGTTGTCTGACCTATGTCCGCCTCCTGGCTTCGTTTTGGCCTCGCGGTCCCTCGATTCTTACCGTTCATCACTCAATGATTGAACCCCACAAGCTTTCGGCGAATGAGCTACATTGTACATACCCCGTGCTCCTGCCGCATCGCTTAATCAATCTTGTAATGAGTAGATGATATTATGTTTTAGTTACACGCAAATGCATCACCTTCCATAAGGTAGGGGGAAACCTTTTCGAATTGATCGATATCACACGGGATGGAGGGCGCATGTTTAATCTTTTCCTTCATGTTTGTCTTCTTACACCAAAGATATATTTAGGAGAAGTCGCATGACATTTCCAGCTTCATGTACATAGTATGGACACAGCCTACACGAGATGAATCAACGCTTTTGACTCTATATCTTCTTCCTCTTGACTATGTTAAGTCAATCGACCTCATAGCCTAAACGCGACCGTGTATTACGTGAAGTCAAAACGCCCATAACAAACATATGTATGACTTGTACGATATTAAACAAACACTCCTGTAACTCCTCGCTATATGTTTTGATCTTCCAAACCTTCGTTCCGACGTCCCGGCAATCATGGTATTTAAATGGGACATACCAGCTATATAAGCTGCGTTGCTGATTCGACACATGTGTCTTTCACAAAGCGTCTCAAGACACTTATGCAGAGAAGTGACCACCCGAAGAATCCTGGCCAGGGTTCGCCTGCTCGTAGTTAAAGTGCTTGACAAAGCGGTAGTATGCCGAAGCAAGGAGTGCACCAAGTATAGGGCCAATCCAGTATATCCAGTGGTAGGTGACAAACGTTCGTGAAGCAACAGCAGGACCAAAACTGCGTGCAGGGTTAAGTGATCCGCCCGTGAAGTAAACGCCTGTACAGTGTTAACTCCTTGAACCGGAAATGTTGCTCTATTTGAGTAAGAGGTAGGACATACCACCCATCATGGCTACAAAAAGCGCCAGGCCAATACCGATTGGCGCAATGAATGTAGATTTGCTCTTCTCGGCGGCTAGCATTAGAACGACGAACACGAGCTCGGCGGTCATGAACATCTCGATAAAGACACCTTGGGCGATAGAGGTACCGCCAGATAGTGAAGTGTTGACAACACCGATATCTCCTGGAAACATGCATTCGACGAGTCCACCGGCGCACATGCATGCAAGTAGTTGAGCGGGAAAGAGAAAGAGTGACCGTATAAAGGGAAGTTGACCGGCAACCACCATACCAATCGTTACCTGGAACATGTCAGTATCATCTACCTTCCTCTCGTATGTACGAGTGAAAGAGTACGTACCGCAGGGTTGAACAATCCTCCGCTGATCCGAAAGAAAGCCCAAACATTTACCAACAAACTGAAGCCATACACCAAGGCTGTGAAGATATTCTGCTGACTGCTCGTACCGCCGTTGAGAATCGAACGATCACTGGCTTGATTGGTGATCATGAGCTGACCAGAAAAAGCAAAGAAGAGGAACATGAAGGTGCCGACAAATTCTCCACTGGCTGCTATAATGTGGCCCTCAAGACTGCTGATATGCTTCTTGGGTTCAGGAGCGGGTACGTCGTAATCTGATTCATTGCGTGGGAGCGGACTACTGTTACCGTTTTGGCTCCGGGAACGCCGGCGTGGTGGAGGCTTTGGCTCGCGGTAGGTGGACATGCGCGGCATTGTCGTTTGGAGATTTAGGAAGAAGGTTTGAGAGGGAAACGTCTTGGTTTCGACAGGAAGCTGTGTAAGACAGATGGTAGAAGATATCGACGAAAAAAAATGTCCATACTAAGTGGACGAATACACCGTGGTTGGGGAACGCGTCCTAACGACGATCTAAAAGCAACTAACGGCCGCCGTTGTGCTATAGCGGTCAATCAATCAGGTTAACGAGATCTTAGTGTTAGCCAACGACACGGAGACGGAGGCATGACGATTGTGACGGAAGATGCGCGTCAAGGGTCCACATATAGTCTGAACTACTAAGTGTCGGGATCGCCGTTCATGAATGGCGAACTCCAACAAAGGCTGACTGAAGACGTGTCCTTGTAAAGAAAGCACCAGTTGTGATAGGGTTTGAGTATTCTATGGGGCAAGAATATGCCGTTGCACACGGCTGAAGCCTCCGCCCGCCTGACGTTGGTGGCTGGTTTTACATGTTATGACACGATGATCGGTGATTGGTACTAGGGGCATGCTTGTCTGACGGCCGAGTTCTTGACAGTCGGAACTGGAATCGCAAAAAGACACTACGAGGTTGTCGGCGGCCCGCGGGAGCTAAAAAAGTCAAGAGGCTTGAGGAATGGACCGCGTCCCGATGTGATTCTGTGGGTGCAGCACGTCTATTTGAGTATTGACAGATTCGCACGCGTATGACAGCGCAGTACCATAGTAGTATATACAGAGATTTCAGGGCTTACCTGCTTTTCTTACCCTGAACCTGGAAGATCTGTCGTTTCCTCCGATCTTCCCAACGTGCCCAGCCAGAATCAACCAGGTCTTCTTGTATCACAAGATCTCTTACACGCAGTGTTCTCAAGACCCAGGTTTCGAGAGCCCACTCTATCCAGCCAGCTCTCCGCAGATATGTTGTGAAGGCGAACCAAGCCAGGGCGAAGATAGCTCCGGCAGCACATCCGACCACAACTTGTTTTGGTGTATGATAGCTCAAATATATCCTGCTTGCAGCTACAGCTCCTGCACAAGCCAATGCTAGGAGTGAAAGGAGGAAACGGCCACCCAGTGAGAAGGGTGTGTGGGTATCCGTCGGGTGGGGAACGTGTCGGAAGAGGAGAAACAGGCCTAAGGTAACGGAGAAGAAGGATACGAACTGGGCGTGTGAGGAAGGCATTCCGTAGCCCTTTCCGTGCATCTCTGTCTAGTATTAGCACTACGCTTGAATAGTGTCCTTTTCTTGACTTACCCCGCGGCCGCTCTTCCTTGATGTATCTCTTCAGAACCCAGTTGAGCGCTTCGCACGCCATCTGGCCGGCAAACATGAGGAAGATCTCAATCTCGCGGTTGGACCATATCAGCGTCGCATAGACGACGCACAGTCCCTGGGGCACGAGAGCAAGCCATGCGCAGAGGTAGGAGATGCGGTCTGCGGGATTCTGGGAGCATTAGCTGAGCTCTTGCTGTCAGCACAATGAACAAACATAATGGACATGCGTCAGCGACAGTGACGCAAGCGGTGGAGCCTCCATAGCGACTTCACGTGGGAGGTGAAGCTTCCAGGGCTGTCAAGAGTGAAGGATGCACATGCAGTAGCCATGACGGCGCATTCCCGGCAATACCCTGTCGGCCTTGGCGCGGCGCATGCGAGATACCTCGGTGGGCCATTGGCTGCGTTCCAGTGCCAGTTGCGACGACCTAGTTCTTGACAGCATCTGTGGAATCTGAGTGATAGCAATCCAGCGTCTGACTCACCATGGGCCTCTTTAAGGGGTCCTTTGCCTTTACGCGCTACCGATAGAAGACAGTCGCCACGCCCTTTGATACTTGGTTGCGACCGCATTCGACTTATCTCCGCCCTCTCTCCGCTGTCGCCACATCCTTATACAACTCACTCGACGGGCGATACACAATCCCCCGAGAAATTACCACCGTAACAGTTTCACTATGGAAGACGAGCGCGCCGAAGAGCTCAGCACGCTGCAGTCCATCTACCCGGAGTTGGTTATCAGCGATAGCGACCCCTACTCTGCCACGCTTGAACTGCTCGTGGCGCCTACCAAGCCTTTGCCTATTACCTTTGAGCCACAGCAAGATGTCGAACGACTTCCGTATCTACCCCCACTACGTCTCGAAATTATCCTACCCGCCGAGTATCCCGAACAAACACCGCCCGTAGTGAGGTTGTCTACGTCGCCATCGTGGCTAGGCGAGGACCTCCAGGCTACACTCGCAGCAGAAGCAAAGATGTTATGGGATGAGTACGGCGGAGGTAGCATTCTATTCGCCTATATCACCTCTTTACAAGAACAAGCCGAAAATGCCTTTGGTCTGGAGGGGCTTACGCTACCCTCCTCTATGCGGAAGGAGCTCGTAGATTATAGTCGCCGGATGAAGAAGGAGCTGTTCGATAAAGACACATTCGACTGCGAAGTCTGTCTCGAGCCAAAGAAGGGGTCTGCCTGCTACCGCATGGCCCGCTGCAGCCATGTCTTTTGCATCAATTGCCTCCAAGACTACTACAACAACTGTATAAAGGAGGGGGACGTCAACAACGTCAAGTGTATGTCCACCGAATGTGGTAGTAGTGGGAAGAAGAAGGACCGGCTGTTGTCGCCCAAGGAGCTGCTACAGATCCCTATAGCACGCGATCAAGTCGAGCGATACGCCAAGATCAAGCGGAAGAAAAAGATTGAATCTGACCCTAGCATCGTGTTTTGTCCACGCACATGGTGTCAAGGTGCCATGCGAACTACCAAATACCCCAAGATTACCGACGTAACTCAGATGGACGATTCGGATTCTGAAGCAGACGACGAGAGTCCAGCTCAGCAACAGGAAACCAACACTGAGCCTGGCCCAGAGAAGCGTGGAATTGGCGTACGAGGTATGGATCGGTTACAGGTTTGCGAAGATTGCACACTCGCTTTCTGTGTTGTCTGCTTAGCGTCATGGCACGGAGATTTCGTACGCTGCGAGCCACGCGATGCTACACAACTGACCGAGGAGGACCAAGCATCGCTCAACTTTATCATGAAGAACACCACACCCTGCCCGTACTGCTCTGTACCGTGCCAGAAAAGCATGGGATGTAACCATATGGTGAGTAATGTGCCTGCACGAGCTACAAGTGAACACATACTGACTCTGTACACCTATATTTAGACCTGCGCGCAATGCAAGTCGCATTTTTGTTATCTTTGCTCCGCGTGGCTCAACCCAGATCACCCATACGCGCATTTCAACGACCCCAAGAACAAGAACTGCTTCATGCGCCTCATGGACGGGGCCGAAGGCGACATGGGAAACGGCGCTGTGCAGTTTGGTGGTAGGAGAGGGGCTGAGCAAGCGGCGGAGTTCTGGGAGCAAGAAGCCCTGCGTATACAGATGCTAGAATTTGATGAATTCATACGATAGCTTGAATGGGTGAGTAATAGACAAGCACTTGCTGGAACGTAAGGCTAATGATAAAAATAAGAAATCAACCCCTATTTTTCCTGAACCATTGACGAATGCGAGTACCTACGCTTGCTGGACAACTTGCACTTGACTGCAATGCATCGTGCATTTTTAGAGGTGCTAGACTCCTACCAAAGAGCTTTAACAAATTGCTCAGCATCTCGGAAACTCACGAGGACATTCAGGGTAGACTTTGCACATACCGCTTTGGCAGCTCTCTCCTCGAGGACCTATTACATTATTATCATTACAGCTTCGTGCATAGAAACCTATATACTGCAGATCGGCCAATCTTCTACACCGACACCCGTCTCTCACTCCTTAAGCCAAAGGCTTTGCGCCAGCCAGCTGCCCCGATCCAGCGATTACGACATCGCTCAATGGTTTGTCACCCTGCCCAGTCCTTGTCGCCTCAATCTTCTTTACTACATCCATACCATCAAGGACTTCACCGAAAACGACGTGCTTGCGATCAAGATGCGGTGTGGAAGCGGTCAGGATGAAGAATTGCGAGCCGTTGGTGTTTGGGCTGTGGGATGGTTAGCGATATCTTAATGATCAGCCGGTCATGTAGCTTACCCTGAGTTCGCCATGCTCAAAAGACCGGGATGCGTATGCTTGAGCTCGAAGTTTTCGTCGTCGAACGAATCGCCTCCAAAGATGCTCGCGCTGCCGGTACCGTCTCCGTTCATGAAGTCACCACCCTGGATCATGAAGTTCGGGATAACTCTGTGGAAAGTGCTGCCCTTGTATCCGCCACGGTTGGATTCGCCAGTGCAGAACTGCCTGAAGTTCTCTGAAGTGGCTGGCACAACATCGAGGAACAACTCCATCTGGATGCGCCCAATCGGCTGGCCTCCAATCGCAATGTCGAAGTACACAATCGGGTTATCGGGTGACCTGCGCGCCTTCACTGTCGCACCTTCTCCGGCCACTGGGATGTTTTGTTGTGTCGGCGCATTTGAGGCTGCGGGCTGTGATGGACGCGCCATCTCGGTCGATTGGCCGTCATTCTTCTCTTTGCTGCCGCAAATACCCATTGCAAAGGATTGGACTGTAAACGCTCCTTGTAATGTTGTTACTATTTGTTTGCGCAACAAAAATGATGTGCGCAGGGAAGTTTGAAGATCAGAGATCCCAAAGTTGGGATGACGATGATCGCATCAGGCCGCTACGGGAGAGCTAGCGGCATCTAGACTATGCAAGTACGCAAGGGAAACAAGGTTGAGGCGATGACTTCATCGGTGAGATGTTTGCTTTTTAACATGCAGGAAGATCTGTGCAGGTGCAAGCCGATGAATCAGGCACGTGTGGTAGTCAGTACGGGTGCGATTTCCTACAAAGCTGCGCGTGCGTGGCACCCACGGACGTGTACTACACCGCCATGCCCAACCTGACTACGTGTCTCTCCTTATACTACTGTTGATACAGTGTAGAACACGATGGTATCCTGGATAACGCTGTGGATATTCGCCGCCGCTCCAACACCCTCAGCCAACTTGGCCTTGTCGGTAGCGAGATTGAAGTTCTTCGCAGCTGCCGCACTGAAGGTATCGTGATCGAACTCCAACAATGCCAGACTGGCGATGACAATAGCCGAGAAGCCGTTTGCCTTGAACACGGGCTCTTTTTCGCGAAGATGCTTGGTAGCATTCGGGATGCTGACATCCACTATGCATAAAGTTAGGACTCTGTCCGTGCTGGAAAGATTGTGACAACCAACCAGTCGCTACCACCGTATCAATGAATTTGATCGTATCCTCCACGCTAAATGGCGGCAGAGCAAGAGTCGCACGTCGGAAACCTTCCCGGTTCACAGTGTGGATTTTTGCTACGCCAGCAAGCACCTCTTTGCCTTCAACGATGGCTGTCTCAAAAGAGCCACCCTGGAAGGCTTGCACTGTGGCATCGAGTTCGAGAACAGCGTTATGGATGTTGATCACCGACTGAGTCACATCTTGTGCTGTGGGCAGGACCTGTGGAACTGGCGAACAGAATGCGATGGTTGAAAGAAACAAGAGGGAGAGTGAGAAGTGCATGGTGTCGTCGGATATCTTGCTGTGATGGCGATCTGACACGATACCAAGCCAAAGAACAATACACGAGTCAAAATGATGCGGGGACGAAAAAGCAATCAATCCATATTGGAGCTTCCTGTTATACAAGTTCCTGGTGATATTCATCTGGAGCCGAGGCACATCACGACATGCCGATCTGGCGTCGAATAGAGCAACTAGTCACTTAGCTACGGAAACTAGGTTCAGCGGGTGTGCAGATCACCGGGTATCACGCCGCAAACTGGAGTAACTACTATGTATATTGAACTAGATCGTAAGACTCTCTTGCTCGACCTATTCATTGATTGGTTGTAAGACAGAAACAAGTATATTACGTTCTAACCGCATAGTAAATCGATCACAACACTAACCGCTCACCACTACCCCAACTCCGGCTCCACACTCAGTGCTCTAGAATCTCCTTAGCAACTCTTTCTCCGCTTCGGATAGCGCCGTCCATGTACCCAGTCCAGTACGGGCTCGTCTCCGTACCAGCAAAATGCAACCCATCGACCTTTGCTCTTAACGCGCTTCCGTGCTGTGTGAGCACATTGGGTGGAGCAACCGCTACTGGACCTCCTCTGGACCATTCCTCCAAGTCCCAGCGCTGTAGCACAAACTCAGTCACGTTTGTCGCGCTGTCCCCAAAGTACCTTTTGTAATCAGCCAGAAGCTTCTCCTCGCATTGCGCCGGGGTCAGTTTATCCAGAGCACGCATTTCGTCGCCGAGAATGAAGCCTAGAATTGCGCCGAAAGAGGTGTCCTCGGGGGTGCTGTCGAAGGTTACTTTGGTGGAGCCATAGTCAGAAAAGACTTGTGCGCTCAGATTATCGTGGCGCCAAAAGGGAGTGGTGTAGATTGGAATGCCTTTCCCAATCGAGGGCATCTTCATCTCTTGGTCGAGTTGGTTGCGGCTGCTGGGAAGTGATGGTGAGAAGTTGATTTGACGCAGCAGCGGAGGTGCCATAGCTAGTACGACCTCCTTCGCATGTACCATCCCCGCTCGAGAAACGACTTTGTAACCATGGGCTGTCTTGGTGATGGCTGATACAGCGGCATTGAGGGCGATATGCTCACTGCCGACTTTCTTCGCTAGGGTCTCCGGAATGAGACCGGTTCCGCCCACTACCCGTTTCTCTTGAGCACCGTCTTTGATGGCGATCAATCTGTCTAGGGTTCCGACAGTTGTTTCGTTTCCAGCGGCTGCAATATATGCGACGACATATAACAAGGAGAGTTCGCGTGGTTCTGCAGCAAATATGGCCTTGCATGCTGTGGCCAATACAAGAGAGGTGTCCGAGAGGGTTGCTTGCTGATCGATAAACTGCTGGAAAGTCATGCTGTCCAGCTCTTTAGCCTTGGGATGTGCCCATGGGGCACTCGTATTGAGCTCAGCTGCCCATGCGTTCAGTTGCCCCTGTGCACCAGCGACTTCAACGAGAGACGACTGTTCGATTGGCGGTGCACCACCGAGTGCTGGATCCGGTGTATACGTGAGGCGGGTACTGTTACGCCACAAGATGGTTTTCCCCTCGGCATATGTATCAAATGTCTTCAGTCCTAGGTCAGAGATCATTTGTAGGACTTTATCCTGTGTCGGACCAACGAATTCGGCGCCTACTTCGGTGACACCGCCATTCTTCAGAGGGTGGTTGTACACTTTGCCGCCGACACGGTCTCTGGCTTCAAGCACGACGACAGACTTGCCACCCTGAAGGAGCTCTCGCGCTGCTGTGAGACCAGAAAGACCAGCACCGATAATGGCAACGTCCACTGATTCGGGTACAGCGGTTGCGGAAGCGTAACTGGAGAAGTAGGCAGAAAGAAAGAGGAGTACAGCTCTCCTCCCGAAACGAGGGGAGACGAAACGGTTGCTCATGTTTGCAGTGATAGAGTTGTGAAGACGAGATGGAAGCTGATCTGTTTGTTGATGGAAATCTCACTACCGAAGAGTAGCCTGCTCATATATACTGACTATTGCATGGCTTTAGGTATGTAGACAATTGCGCCTCAAGATCTGATCCTGGTCGTGGAAGGAGATGAGCGTCCGAACCCGACCAGAAGGGCCGTTGTCAAATGGTGTTCAATACATGGCCATCTGTATGTGACCTGTCAGCAGCCAGGGTACTACCCAGCCTACGAAAGGCATATCCGAATTGGGTTGTTCGCAAGGTGAGCTCAAAGTAGCAAGCGGTCAACAGGACTGGTCCAATCAGTACTGAAACATCTAAACTACACTCAATTCGACGTAAATAGCAAATGTAGGCTTTTACCGTGGTATCCTACAATTTGTCGGCTTCGGGTTGCTGGTGGTTCCCGAAGCCGAAAATGTACATCTGCCGCTGGCTATTATCTCGAACCTTCAGCTCTGGCGGAATTTTGGGAAACGCCGAAATACCTGCGAAAGCCTCTGATCTCATTACTGCTTGAAATTCCGAAGAAAATAAGCCGAGGTTGTGCGATCATGGCGCTGCATGATAGAGTAGGCCGCAGGGTCTCACGACGCAGGTACCCAAGTAGTTCAGCTTGTCAATGTTGCTATTTTCGCGCGCACTACATTTTTGCTAACCTACATCTACATGGTGTCTACATGCGTATTTGCGCTTGTATGCTTGAATTTCTCTTTAATATCAATACGTCGTCTCAACTAGTTTTGTTCGAGCAATCGAGTGCGTTCTCCAAGGTCAGCCCAATTCCAGGACGGCTGAGGGAGGGCCAAGAAACAGATACATCACACCCCGCCAAATGAATTGGCAAGGTTATGTCTGTATGTTGATTGTTTCTCTGAGTTCCCGTCAAGCTTCACTCATACCCTTCCTCATTGATACAAGCCGGCCGGCCTTACTGCGGCCCAAGGCTTCCGAGCCCTCCGAGATATTCATTCATCGTCAATGATGGACTTCGAATCGGCTGGTTCATGATTTTCCAAGAGCCGAGCACTCTGACCGAAGTCGCTAGTGCTGGTAGTTAGAGAGTATGCTACCGGAGGTTGTTGGCAAGCTGGGTGAAAGCTTCCAAGGTTGACGTCATGTGAGCTTCCGTCAAGGCACCTACACGAAAGCGCTCGGGATTCAAAAGTGCGTTTTAGCTTTGGAGTACCCTAAAGGTATTCGGTATATTTCGGTAATGCTATTATAGATGTGGAAGTTGGTGAAGTCCTTCAAGGCACGTCAAGAAGTTGTTGGGTATATATAAATTTACCGGGGCTTTATTGTATCCAGGTAGTATACTACTCCTTCCTCCTAGACGACGCTCAGTGCCGACATGTCACCATTCTAGATCTCCACCTTAACTTCTTGCTCCCACTCCCAGGAAATTCTGCCATCAAGATCTGTGGTGTACCGGTTGGAGGCCAGTACTGTGCAACGTTGACTAGATATTCGTAGACGCAGAATCACTGGACGTATGAGGTTCATAAATCTCCTGAACTCTACGGCCCCATCGCTACAGATGAATTCCACAAGCACTTGTAACTGTGTCACTTTCCAGGACAAACGCAGACCCTCGAGACATCGCAGGACATTCGCGTCGGTTGCTGGAATTTATCATCGTGCAAAATCTGGCGGTTGAACTTTGCGATGAGCTCACGAGGTTGCAAACCACTACCAAAAAGATCTTTGTTAAACAGCTTTTTGAATCATTTATCGGACTCTGCTTGATCCATTGTTGTGTAGTTCATGTAGAACGTGCTGTTCCGGTACCAGGATTCGATAGGCTCAGGAGCCACTTTGGAGCTGACGACATCGTCTCGCCAATAGTACTCTCAGCAAAGCCCATCATTCTTCGAGTGAGGCTGCAAGGCAAAGTATGTAGTATATCTCAGCGGTTTGGCAAGGCCTTCCATGCACTTTGGTTGTTGGACTCGTTGACTAAATTCTTTTCGCGAGTGGAGATCAGGTTTGTCTGACAATTCTAGTTCAAGTGTGGTCAGGTACGCGTAGACCATGTCGCAGAGTTCTCGTGATAATTTCTTGTGCATAGCCAGACCGATAGTACGACAGACAGCAAGATCGTACGCTTCGGCAGCTTCTTCGATGTCCTCACTCACGTCACGATGTATTCCGAATTTCTATTTGATACTCTCAACGACTGGGACGGGAAAATTGTCGCAGTCGGCGCAAAGGTGAATGAGCTCTTCGAAGCCTTTCCGTTGGGTGTTAGACCGCTGGAGGTCGTCAAACATATTCTTCGCCTGCTAATGCTGCAACAGCCTGTGTTGAATTAGTATCACCGTCCAATCACACCCTACGCATAATGACCTACTTGCATAGCTGCTCCCAAAAAGTCGCTACTAAGTCCTATCGGTCCATAGACTGAGAGGGATAGAGTTTGACCAGGGTGCAGTTGCAGGAGTAAGATATTTGGTAACAATTGTCGCGCACGGACCCATAGGCGCGTGTTCACGTGGATGGCCCTGAGGCATTCGTTCACCTAAGCAAGAGCAGAAGAAGATCAGGAACAAGTCACAGCAAACACTGAATACACTTCCCGTTCAGTGCCTACGAACGCGCGAGCTTCCCTAGTGCGTCCCCCTCCACTCTTAGACCCACCCATGCATCTTTCGTTTGCGCACCTACAGCCTCGCTCTGATAGAATTGAAGACTGGGCTCGTTCCAAGTCAAGCAACTCCATTCGAGCCTCTTGCCACCAATCTTCAGGACTTCTCCAGCAAGCTCCTTCAGGAGTCTCTTCCCGTAACCCTTCTTCCTGTAGTTCTCCTTAACAAAGAGGTCTTCCAGGTAGATACCTGGCACGCCTGTCCATGTGCTGTAGTTGTAGAAGTATAGAGCCATGCCAGCTACGGTGCCGTCAGGGTCAGTAACGAGGAGTGTTCGGGCGAAGCCTTCAGAAAAGGTCGAGGTGGAAGGATCGTAGTGTGCAAGGGTGCGTGTAAGGATTTCCTCGGTAGAGTCGACCTTGTCACTGGCTTTCTCGTAGAGAGCAAGCTCCTCGATCAGAGCGAGAATTGTAGGAACATCTGCGCAAGTTGTTAGTAGACTCCCACTATTGTGCTGGAGGTGCTGTACCTTCACGGCTCGCGTGGCGAACTGTTGCGTTTGAAGATGCCATTTTGGTTGTTGTAATGTTACCAAGGTCACTGCAATGGCTGACTGTAGAGTAAAGGGCGCCGTTGATTTATGTCATTGTGAGATGCGCCCTGTGGTAGTCGCGATGTGGGGTAAAACTAGTCCGAGATGTAATCGGAATCGGATCTACCCCACCTAGGAAGGAGCTTGGTTTTACTGGCTTGTACCGTAAGTATTAAGACCTACCCTAACGATATACACTGTTCCTTGCTTGATAGCTCTTCAACCCGGATCAGTACGTATACCTCTAGGACAGGTTTTAGTATCTATAGTACAACCTAATAAACTGAGCTTCTTCTTATGACGCCTTCTGCTTCTTTGCTCGCGCAGCAGCAGCAGCACGCTTCCTCTTCCACTCATCGAGTTCCTTACGTATTGGGTTGTCTTCAGGGAGTTGTTCGGCGAAGAAGGGAAATCGCATGTATTCGCCCTCTGAGTTCCGTGGCTGGACGTGTAGCGATTTGGCCAGCGCATGCTTCTTGGGCGCCCTCGGGATTTTGCCAGTCGCATCGACACCTGCAAAGAGCATTTCATCCGTGGGGGCGTTGTAGAGGCTGGGTTTGATGGTCTTCATAGCCTCACCCCAGATAGCCTTCCATCGCTTCTGGTCGTCATCCCACTCGAGCTTACAACAGAGCATGAGAAGCTTGGTATACATGCGCTGCATAAATCTAGTTGTAATAACATGTGGTCGTTGTATGCCTGCTGGTTTATCCGCCTTACTGGGCTTGTCTAATGCAATGCCCTTTTCTACCGTGCTGGCGAAAAGTTCGTCTTCTGTAACAGTATCAGCGTTCAGAGCTGTACCGCGTCCTCTGCGTTTGGCTAAGCCAATCTTTCGGTCGCCAACCATCATGGCATATATATTGTCCCACTCTTCAGTAGGTAGTGGAGGGAGCATCCTCGTCATAGTCTCGGCATACCAGCGTCGGACATTGTTGCGCGCGCGCTTGATAGGCATAGGTCGCTCCCACGAATTGTTGATGGGCGTCTTCATGGCTGAACTCTTGAGCTCGCGGTTAATGGAGATGCCCTTCTCCTGCTGCGTCCTGAGGACAGCGCGCAACCGAGAATAGCGACTGGAGATTTTGATGGTGTGATGCGTCTTGTCAGCAGCTTTGGGCGCATCGAAGTACTGGAGGTAGCGTTTGTTGCTGTAGTAGAGCTTCTGCAGGGGCGCCGGACCTGCTTCGTTTGACGCCGCGATTGCACCACCGTCCATGATACGGTCAGGCTTCAGTATGTTCTCTAGCAGGGCATACTTCCGCCTTCCCATGCGACCGTAGGCGAAGAACAAGACCTTTTGTAGACATGGTATCTCGCCCTGGTTGGCCCGGCGCAGGAAATTCAGGCCCTTCACTCCTCTCCTCAGCAGTGGTCGTGTGCGCTCATTTATGATGGCTGTCTGGCGCCTCTTGAAGCTCCTGTGCCTGTATTTGTCCACGGCGTGGACATCGAAAGAAGCAGTCGCGTTCTGCCTGGGCTGGTAGGCTTTATATCGCTGGACAATGTACCGGCGGAAGTAGCTACGGGCAGTCGCATCGGGCAGGTACGAGGCTTCGCGCAGAAGGGCTCGCAGCAGGTGAACTGGCTGGACAGGCATGCGGGAGACGAGACGGAAGGGTAGCAGACGCTGTGGTGGCTGCGGCTGGGCAATCAAACACACAAGACGTGTGATTGGCCGAGTGCGCACAACCGACGACGCGTTGGACGCGAATCTCCACTCTCTCCACGACGACGGCCAATTCACTCCCCGCCCACCCGCATACCGACATCGAGTCCTGATACGGCGCATATCGCCTATCGCATATCGCAACCCCTTCACCGAGCATACCGCTTCCAGCGCACACGTTGCGCGCCCCGACTGCACCTGCCCACGCTGCCGCCCAGCCTCCCTCCGCGACTGCCCCCATGATCGTCGCTTGACCCGTACAGTCACCAACAACACCGCCAGCGACTGCGCTGACATAATGCAAGTCGCGCGCTCGTCGCTATCCTTCCCCGCAGGTTCGCCGCCCCAGTCTGCCATGTACGCCCAATCTCCCCATGGTCAGGGACTCATGGCTGCGCCCGCTGGCTTCAACCGGTCCTTTTCCGACATGAACGGCTTCCAGCAGCACGCCATGGAGAAGCCGCAGATATACACTGTACGCACCACCACCACCACCACCACCACCACCACAACAACAACAACATTGCCGTCGCATTGGCACGCTAACAAACCTAGGCTGTTTACTCAGGCGTCTCCGTCTACGAAATGGAAGTGAACCGGGTCGCTGTCATGCGCCGACGCTCTGACGGCTGGCTCAACGCTACCCAGATCCTGAAGGTTGCTGGCGTCGACAAGGGGAAGCGCACCAAGGTGTTGGAGAAAGAGATACTGAATGGCGAACACGAAAAGGTCCAGGGTGGCTACGGCAAGTACCAGGGCACCTGGATCAACTACCGCCGCGGACGAGAGTTCTGTCGCCAGTACGGTGTCGAGGATGTTTTGCGACCACTGCTGGACTACGACATCAGCGTTGACGGCAACCAAGGCCAGGGCCAGGGCATCGAGACGCCCACCAAAGAGCAGGCCATGGCAGCCAACAGGAAGCGCTTCTACACCCAAAGTATGGACGGCCGCACCACCAGCCAGAGCGTCGGCGGTACCTTCTTCAGTAACATCTCCTCCACAGCCACCAGCGCCCTTGCAGCAATGAACAAGGTCGCGCGGCTGAACTCACCTGCCCCACGACCTGCCTCATCATCGCAGGGCCGAAGAAGCATGGCACGACCATCACAAGGACCACTCGCCAGCCAAGAATCTTTCCGCACCAGCAGCCAGCAGAGCGTAGCATCGGAGCGTAGTTTTAGCGGGCAAGGGCACAACGACTCGGCCTACGGCACAGGCATAGAAGATCCACAAGAGCCACCACGAAAGCGCATGCGCACATCGCAAGACGAATCATACTCGCAGCCCAACGGAGCAGACATGTCAATGCGTGATCTTGGTTCGCCGACAGAACCAAGTGAGAGCTTTTATCAACCACACCACACTGGACAACGCATCCAACTTCCCGATGGCGAGGTTCCTTCGGCACTACCACCTTTACCACACCCCGACACCAAGCACAACGAAGAAAAACAGGCCATGTTAACAGATCTATTCGCGGACCAGACTAGGACAGACTTCACCAACCACCCCGCCATACTCCATCTCTCTGGCGCTGATCTCGACATGCCAATCGACAACACTTCGAATACAGCGCTACATTGGGCAGCGACTCTGGCCCGAGTGTCGTTGATGAGGCTGTTGGTTTCAAAAGGAGCGAACATGTTTAGGGGAAACGCTTCCGGCCAGACACCGTTGATGAGTGCAGTTTCCGTCAACAACAGCCTGGATCATAGCTGCTTCCCGGAGACGCTCGAGATCTTGGCGCCGCTCATCGAACTACGAGACTCTCAAGGACGGACGATATTACACCACATTGCGGTAACGTGTGCTATAAAAGGGCGTGCGGCCTCCAGCAAATACTACCTCGAAGCACTTCTTGAGTATCTTGTACGGAGCAATATCGGCGCCAGCCAGATGCCTTCTTTCCACGACACTAGCAACTACCCGAAACCCATAGGACTGATGAGGTTCATGCAAGAAATGGTCAACGCGCGGGACAAAGCCGGCAACACGGCACTTAATCTAGCAGCGAGAATAGGTAACCGCAACATTATCTCACAACTCATGGAAGTACAAGCGGACCCGACGATCCCCAATCACAAAGGAACAAGACCGGTCGACTTTGGCGTTGGCAGTGATCTTGGCGACGGCGAAGTCATCATGGCCGCAAACAGCCCCAGCAAGGGCAAGGCGCCCTTGAGCAAAGTTGAGGAGACTAGCCGAGAGATACAACCATGTAAGTCGAGACTCACCTTAGTTTCAGAGAGCCACTCGTTAACAGGAATTTCAGTGATGAATGGCATCCTTCAGTCAGCTTCGATGCAGTTCACGCAAGAAGCGCGTCTAAAACAAGACGCGATAGATCAAACGAACGAGCTGATCACCCAACTATCCACTCAACAAAAGCAGGAGCAACAAAGACTTGAGTCCCTACGTGCTCGGTTACGTGTACGACAAGACCGGGCCAAGCGAATATCTAATCTGAAGCGTTGGCTCGAGCCACAACGACACATGCTCTCCGTCAATGCAGGTGACATCGACCTGCATGAAAAGAAGAGAATAGGATACGCCGATCTGGAAGGTGCAGGTATACTCATCAAGGAAGACGACCTGCCCTATGAGCTCCGGCAAGCGGGTGATCATCTAGATTGTCGGGCTTCAGATGGAGCTTCTTATCTATCGACAACTATTCCACTGGACCCGGCAACGCTCAAGCAGGTATCGCATCAACCGCAATATCAGACCTATGCCGTTCAGCAACTGCCTGCTGCCTCGGTCCTCCAACAACGACTTCATACCTACACGAACGCGAACGGCGCATTACTCAAACGTAGCAAGATGCTGAAAGAGAAAGATGGGCAACTGGAGATGATGTACCGCAAGGTCGTTAGCTTATGCACGAAGGTAGAGGAGAGCAGGATTGAAGAGTGTCTTGAGGGCTTAGTGGCGGCTTTGGACAGCGAAGAAGGAGAAGGCGTCGAAGTAGGTCGGGTCAGGGAGTTTTTGAGAAAGGTTGAGGGCGTAGAGTAAGAGTTATCTTTCGCTAGTTCGGGCGTTGGCACGGCCAATGGCCAACGTGAGCTTTGCATCGCAATACAATGGGTACGCCGGCGAGCGGGTTGTTTGGGAGTTGAAGGCTATGGAGATGGCTGTAAACTGGTTGCCTAGGCATGTATTTTAAGCACTTCAGTGCGATTTTCTGGCGGCGTATCACCTGGAACTCGGACTGGAAGGCTACCCAACAAGTTCTCATACCACGCTGTCAATACCATAATACTTTACGACTTTAGCACGTCTCCGTTCCCATGGACAGAAGCTCAAGCAGGAGTATAAGTTGAAAGCGATGACTCTTCTTCGTTCAGTCGCGGAAGGATTACGTCGATGTCCATACTCAAAACGCACATTGTCCAATGCGCTAGGCGAAGTGAAGCGAAGATCAGGTGCCACTACCAGCTGTGTACGCCTGAACGTCAGCGGGCTCAACTTAACCACATCTTCTTCACACCACCTCTGCCAAGCATCATGAGTAGTCACTACAACGAAAAGCCTTTCCGCCTTCTTGATCTACCACGCGAGCTACGAGACGAGATCTACGAGTATGCGCTTGACTTCCATCGCTACCGGACGGAACTTTAACACGAGTTCAGCACAAGCTAACGTTTTTCGATTCATAGAGACGTCCCATCATCTGCTTCTCACATCATCATCATGAGACTAGCTTCATTCAGCACCATGCCACGGTTTCTTTCTCTTTTCTTCCACATCCAGCTTAAGCCTTATCTTTGCATCCTTCTTTTTTTCCGCTTTCTTCTCCTTCTCTGTCAAATTACCCTCCGTCTTCCTCTGTTCATATGTGCTCTCCAAGACACATGCCTCGCAATCCCCTTTCTTCCCCTTGGGATCACCTATAACAATTCTTTCGCACAATGGGCCGGTTTTTCCACAATTAATCGTATCTGAACCCCCTCGTGTATATGGATCATGACCTTTGCCAGCTTATCCACAGGTAGGGCAGGTCTTTCTGGGAACGATGATGCACATGTCCAATACCGTTGGATTTTGATAGATGAGACTGTGTTTCGTGGTTTTGGTGGGGTTGATCTTATTGTAGAGAGAGGCGTCGATGTGATTGGAGCTGGATAGGTCGATGAATGGAAGTGTGCCGCTCAATGTAATGGTTTATCAACTGACAGCTGTGTAAGTATATCGTCACAGATCTATCTCCTGTTAGTAGCGATCCATACTTCTTGAATAGGTAGAGCGTACTATAATTCACATCGAATTGCTATATCACAGCTTTCGTTGGCAAATATAAGCCTTGGATGATCCGTAATAAACTGAAAATATTCACTTTACTTGTTGGAACTTGATTACAAGTCAAAATCCAAAGCGGTGCTGGCAGTGAAGCAGGAAGGGCAAGGGCATCACCGTGTTTTTGCATCAAGGTACCATGCGGAAGTATGAAGAACGCAGAAACGAGAGTACTGATTCTATCTCCACGTGCATACTGTCCACTTCACGCAGTTGATGTCAAATTCAATGACAGACTATCACAGCAGCCTTCATCGTTATACGACAGCCTATTTGCTATGTTAAATATAAAATCTCTTACGTAGTTGCTCTTCCTTTTCCGCATAAGCTAGGAACTCTCTCAAGGATTCATCGTTCTATCACAAATCCTAGGCAGAACCATACAGCTTTATGCTGGTAAGACTGAATATCATGGCAACAGCACATCCGATTATTGCAGGCTCTCAACTTTCGAGCAAACCTGACATTCCACTTCATCAACTCAATCAAGAATTTCCCGTTATTGCCCCAGATGATAAAGACGATTCTGACTATAGCAATTTCGGTGTTGAGGACGTCGATAGCGAAAAAGAAATCAGTGACGACGAAGAACAAGAAGAAGTCAGTGAAGACGAGGAGACTTCAGATGAGGCTGAAGAAGATAGCGATTTTAATGACATAGTTGATAGCGAAGCTGAAAGTACAGATGACGGCGAAGATGAGTCGTTGGATGGGAGTACTGCCGAGGAGAGCGATCATGACCATGCTTCAGACAACAGGGTTTCTGAGGACGACAGCGAAGCTGACAAGAGTAACAATGGTTCACAGCAGCAGGTTCCAATACAGCCCGTCGTCGACAAGCCACAAGCTCTTTCTATCACAGAGGCAGCTAGACTGAAGGTACGAGAAGCAGGTTCGAATCAGAAAGTTCCCATTGAAATGAACAGAGACCAGGCTACTGTGCTGGTTCTTCTAAAATCCACACAAGCTTCTCAAGTGATTGTTCGATCGCAGCAGCAACGCGACGTGCCGGCGAGACAGCAGTTCAATGAACAACAACGCATGCAATCGATACAGCAACTTCGAGGTCAGGGGGGAATTCCTCCAGATCTGGTGAGTACACAAGTAGAGGACGAGGAAGAAGAAGAGGAATATGGCGATGGAGTGATAGAAGAACTTGAGGAAGAAGAGGGCACTGATGAAGACGATGTAGGTTTAGGACAACCATTTCATGCACAGGTAGATGGGGTAGCACCTCAGATGCAAGTCCATGCGCGAAACGAAGCATTTAGCTGGCAACGTCAGCAGCAGATGCAAGCTGTGCCAGCACATAACGAAGAAGAGGATGCTGAAGACATAGTACAAGAAGAAGAGCAAGACCAGGTACAGCATCTTCATGTCCAAACACAAAGGCAGACAATGGCTCGAGAGCGTCATGAACAGATACATGCTGCTATGCGAAAGGAGACTTTAGGACAAGATCAGATACAGGAGGAAGCCGAGGAAGAAGCAGGACTAACTGCAGAGCAAGAAGCAGCAGAAACTGCCGCCTATGTGACTTCGCAGAAGCACGGCAAATATAAGGAACGCCAACAAGCACTTCAGATGGAGCAGACAATGCAGAAGAAGGCGGATGACGAACTCGCTACCATAGAGGCGGAAGAGCTAGCCGCACAGGAAGCTGAAGAGATCGAGCTACAGCAACAGGCACAGCAGGAACAGCAACAGCTGCAAGAACAACAAGAACCACAAGACGTTGCCGACAAATCAAACCAGAAAAGGGCTGCGGACGAAGCTAAACAGTTGGCAAAGCAGGAAAAGGACGCAAGGAGAGCTGAAGAGAAGACGGAAAAGGATGAAAGAAGAGCCGAAGAGAAGACGCAAAGGGATGAAAGGAAGGTTGCCGACCGTGACGAACGTGAGAATCGTCGAAGAGAAGACACAGAGGCCAAGCGAGAAAGAAGAGCTGAGGAAGCTGAGCAGAGAAGAGGGCAGCGCGATATAGACAACGAAGCTAAGAAGGAGAAGAGAGCGAACGATCTGGAGATGAAGACGACCCAGGCAGAAGAAAAGCGGGATCGGGAGGCTGAAGAAGCCACTCAGCGGCAACAGCAACAAGAGATAGATCGAGAAGCTCGCAAAACAGAAAGAGAACTCCAGTCAGCTGATAAAATCGAACGGGCACGGGAGAAAGCGGATCGCAAAGTCATGGAGGCAACTCAGTGTCTCGAAGAGCGGGCTATGACACAGGAAGCTAGAAAGGCTGAACAGGAAACAAACATGCAAAGCCGATTGAGTGAGAGGCAACAAAAGATAGACCAGAAGGCTGCTGAAGCCGCGTATCGTCTAGAAGAACGTGCTATGCAACGGGAAGACAAGGTGCAGCAACATCAAAGAGACTTAGACGATAATAGGGCTAGACGAGAAACTGAAGCTGAAGATAAGAGGCTTAGGAGGGAGGCCGAAGAAGAGAATAGAGCATCCAAGAAAGAGGCTGACCGTGAGAGAAAGATACAACAACAAGAGGACAAGCGGCGTATGAGGGAGGAGGAAGAGGAACGACATATAGAGACCAGCAGTACCATGGATAGGCCACAGAGAGGCACAGCTCGACAATCCCGTACAGCCACCGAAGAGATTCGCGATATCCCAGTACCCCAAACTTACGATACAGCATGTAGAGACCAGAATCGACAAGCGTATGGTGAGGAAGGCAGTTTTCAAGAAGATCAATGGGATGAGAATCGAAGACAGCATCTAGAGGGACACCCAGGCGTGCCACACACTGGCGCTGTACGTCATGATCATCGAGGCGAGCGTTGTTCATGCCATGATCAGCAAAGACATCGGCACGAGCAGAATGGCATGCATGTCAACCTCACACCGGAGCAACATGCAAAGGCGGAGCGAGAAGCACAGGAAGCAAATCTCATAGCAAAGGAAAAGGCAGAGAGGAAGTTGAAAAGAGAAACTAAGAAAGCCAAGACTAAGCAAAATTCCAATAGTTCCAATGGTCAAGGTAAAGTTGATAAGGACGGAAAAGGTGGAGTTCAAAGCACTACCCAACTACAATCTGGTACAGATCAAACCTTGATTTTGGAGAAGAGAGCCAATAGAAAATTGGCAAAGTCAGACATGAAAGCAGCAAAGAAAGATGCCAATATCCGACAACGGGTGGCCGGAATGGGAAAAGACAGCGTAGATAGCGAGCAGAAAGGCGAGATGGAGCTACCCACGAGTATGGAGAGAGAAGTAGAGAAAAAGCGAGTCGAGAGGAAAGCAGTGAAGCAGGACAAGAAGGCAGCGAAAAAGGATGCTGACGCCCGGAAACAGGCTACTGAGTCGGGTGTCAAAAATGGCAGTGCGGTTACAGACCAGACAGATGCCAATGGTCAAAAGGGGAAGCGGAACGAAGGAGACGGTGCAAAACCCAACCAGGAGAGCTTCGTAGAACAAGACAGGGACACAGAGAACTTAGAGGGATCACCGAAGGGAGTTATCATAGCGAAAAAGAGGGCTGAGAGAAAAGCCACGAAAAACGGAAAGGGCGCTGAGCACAAGGAGAGTAAGACTGGAGATTTTGAGTCAGACGGCAAAGACGATATGGCTTCAGAACCCAAAGCTGCTAAGGAAGAGGCTTACGAACATAAGAACGAGGTGAATGCAACGAAAGTTGAAGTTAAGAGAACAGCTTTGAAGTTGAGATTGGTGCACAAGACTGAGAAAGCCGACACGGAGGAGGCTGAGGAGGCTGATAAAAAAGAACTCCCGAATGCTAAAGGGTCTCCGAACGACAAAGATGCAAAGTATGCTGGAAAGTCTGAAAAGACTAGCCCCACAGAAGCCAATAAGGAGGCTAAGAAAGCGGAGAAGACACGGCAGAAGCTTGAAGCAAAGGTACTAGCATCAGATAAGAAGGCAATAGACAAGGAGGAAAAGCTAAGGCAGAAGTCTACTGCGAAGCACGATACTGCTGGCACCAAGGATACTGACAAGGAGGAGAAGCGGAAACAAAAGCTGGCAGCAAAAGAAGCTGTCGAAGATGAGAATCGGAGGCTAAAACTAGCAGCAAAAGATGCGGCCAAAATAGAGAAACTAGAGCGGAAGATTGCGGAAAAGGAAGAGAAGTCGAAACTCAGAGCTGCAGCCAAAGAGGTCTCCAAAGAGGAGAAGCTCAAGCAGACAATCGCCGAGAAAGAAGAACGAAGGAGACAGAAGTCTGCAGCCAAGGAAGCTGATAAAGAAGAGAAACTCAGGCAGAGGACCGCCGCCAAAGAAGAAGCGACTGGGAGAAAAGAGCACGACAAGGAAGAGAAGCTTAAACAAAAAGAGGCCGCCCACGACCAAGCTGTCTACCAGAAGGAACTAGATAAGGCTGCAAAGGCCGAGAAGAAGGAACAAGACAGAGTTCTCAAAGCTCAGCAGAAGGAGAGGGACCAGGTCGCAAAGGCACAGCAGAAAGAGAGAAGTCAGGCCGCAAAGGCTGAGCAGAAACAGAAAGACCAGGCTGCTAAGGCACAACAGAAGGAAAGAGACAAAGCAGACGCGCAGCTGAGAAAGCAAAAAGAGATGATGATTGCAGCGCAGAGGAAGGAAGAGGAGAAAATTGCAAAGCAGAGAGAACATGACAGAGAGCAAGGAATGGCATATCAGCGGAAAGAGGCCGAGAAGAGTGCCGCAGAGAGTGCTCTGAGACCGACAGCAGCTTCGAGACCTAAAGCGGCGGCACCAAGAAAGGCTGCTCCTGCGAGGAGGCGGAGGTAAATTTGAGGGCGAGATCTTTGGTAGGTATCGTAGAGATAATGTGTTGGTATATGGAACCGCCCATGATATAACCGCGGTTTGTTGCATGTTCTGGATTCTTTTTTCACAAAGTAATCCGTCCCTATTGTGATACTCCGAATAATTCTTCCGATAACCTATCCTCAGTACCAGACCCTTACTCGCAGCTTTCCAAACTCTTCTTATACGCCTTCCACAACTCTTCAACACTCTCCCCACAGCACCCCTTCCACAACTTCTCGCCATTGTACTTCTCCTCTCTCAATCCCTCATTGATCCTCCTCACAACATCCTTCCCATGCTCCTTCTCTAACCACTCGAGGAAATATCCTGTCCTCTCATACCCAGCGTCCCAATCACAATCTCCATGCCTCTTCCAATGCGGTGGCGCATACCCAGCCTTCAGCCTCACCCAATCCGCCACGCCCTCCGTGAGGCCCACAGGTGCAGCGCCTTGTCCATTGTGTTGCCAGCAATGTACCATTTCATGAACTATAACACCCATGATCTCCTCTTTCTGCCGCGACTCAGGTACATGTGATATGTAGCTTGTGTTTAGATGTATCTCCTTGTGGTCGTCATCGAGATCTCGTCCCGTAGTGTATGCAACGCCGTCCATCTCCCGCAAGATCAGGGTGACGGAGCGCGTGCCAGGTATACATGATATGGGCAGGTCACTGTAGAGACAGTTGAGGACAGCGTCGACGGCGTATTCGAGCGCGTTGGACGCGTGGATGAGGCGGAGGAAGGCGCGTGCGCCATCGGAGGATAAGTCACGGAGTTCAAGGCGTAGGAGGGGTTTTCGTTGAGGTGTTACTTTTTCGGATAAGATGGGGAGTTGGTTGGTGTGGTCGGCGAGTGTTGTTGCGTTGGCTGAGGAGGTGTTGAAGGGGTGTGTTGGGGGTAACGCGGAGGACTGCGGGGCGGGTGGGGTTGTGTTCGTGGTAGTTGTTGAAGTCATGGTTTGATATTGCTTTGTTGTCTTCATTGATAACCTAGATCGAGAATGTAGAGTTTTGGACACGGATTAAAAAGTCTCGGGACGTTGTTGCCTGAATTTGGTGCTACGTTTGGTCGTAAGAACACGCAAGGGCAACGGAGACGCGCATTTTGTGCTTACGAACGATAAGAGACCGAGCCATGGTCACCCGCAATGTAAATTATTCCGTAGATCCAACCTTTGATCTCAACGCTCTAGTATTAATCTTGTGATTGTTCTATCTAGTTTGAATCTAGTCTATGATGTAGTCATCATCGTTATAGCCTTGAAGATCCGCAGGATTCATCTGATGCAGCTGCATGAACCCTGCCTATCCTTTTGCACAAACACGATATGTTTTCGTGTACCGTCTCATGAACTCTTGAAGACCTCTGGAAAGATTTTGCGTAGCTCCTGCAAGCTCCTGATTTGGTACTTGCTTGCTGGCTGAGCGGGTGCAGGGTCGTTCTCGTCAAGCAGATGCGCCGTCTTCCACCCACGTCCCTCGGCTGCTTTGCAATTAATATAAGAATCGTCTGCGTCAGGACATTAGCAAACCATGTGTAGAGGGAACTTTTGGTCTCACTCACCCACGAAGTAGCACTTCTCGTTCGACTTGATACCGGCCTCCGCCATCGCCTTGTCAAACATCTCCACATGCGGTTTGCAGTAGAACTTGTCCGAGCCGTAGTCGCAGAAGGTTATGCCCTCGAAAAGATCGTCAACCTGCAGAAGCTTGACGACACGCTTGCCATGGTTGATATAGGCATTGGTGAAGAGCCATAACCGGACCTTGCTCGTGTCGATGTCCTCGATTAACTTGCGCAGTTCTGGATTGGGCTTGATGACATCCTCCAGAGGTAACGCATCGTCAACCTTGCTGTTGTACTCTAGCGCATTGACCTTGTGGTGACGAACGAGTCCTTCGATGGCAAGACCATATTCGCGGTAATACCGGTAGTGGAGTTCGTTGGCATCTTCTTGCGACAAGCTCAAGTGGTTTTGGAAGAATTGGTCAATGAGCTCAGCCATCATTCTATGAATCTCAAGGCTCTTTGAGTAGAGACAGTTGTCGATATCGAAGAAGAAGACTGGCTTTTCGTTCTCGTCCACTGTGGCGTTGTTGTTTGCTGTTGAGTCATATTGACGATACTCCATGCTCTCCGGAGGCGCTGCTGTATTGAAAGACATGGCTTCAACTTTATGGATACAGAGGGATTGATTCAAGCAATTGGATGTTAAAATGGGTTGGGATGATTAAGTTATCCAAGTTGTGTTGTCTGGATAGGTGGCGTTGGAAGATTCCAAAGATTGTCTACTTGGTGTAAGCTTTAATTGGGTGTTCGTGATAATACAGATCAAGCATCATACCTTGCGGCAGTGTAGACGAAAGCGAGGCGAATGTTCAATGTACTTCTCAAGTAGACGCGATTGTTGCATTTACAGTCATCGAAACCGTGATGAGTACATGAGGAAGCCACCATCTCCTTCAGGCCTAGTGGCATTACTGGCGCGTGCACCTGCTGAAAACCAGAACGCGCCGTGGCTCCGACATTCATTACCCACCTGCTGGCGTGTTGCTGAAACTCGTTCCCCTTCATCATCTTCCCACCCAGCTCAGTCGCGGGTGTCGCCTGTATTTGTATAATCGCCAGTCTTGCGCTCGCTTGTTGGTGTTTGGTACTAAGCTCAGTTTCGCGTCTGTTGTGATGGCAGCACCAATCGCTTCAATGTCGACAGCCGCAGCGCCGCCGTCGCATCTGAACGGTGCCGGCGCAGTGTCTGCAGAGGTGCTTCGAGAGGCCGAGTTCCTCCAGAAGATTTTGCAGATACGCGATGAAGTGCTTGCTAGCAAACACCCGCGTATTCATCTGCCACCCAAAGTAATTGAACAGGTTGCACCGCGTCTTCCGCAGACTGCTTCTAGCAGACCCACGACCAACGGCACATCCAACGGATCTTCATCGCAGCTGTTTCCTCCGCGTCCAGCATCCTCCACACGGCCTCCCACATCTCCTATACCCCCTACACAGCGACCATACTCGGCCAAGTCTTCCTCTTCGAGCATCGATCCCATCTTGCTCACAAAATCCGAACACCTGGTCAAGGCAGAGCAGCAGCTGAAGCGGCAACAGATAGAGCGCGCCCTGAAGGATCAGTTCGATAAAAAGGGTCGTGGCAACGATGCAGACGAGCGAGAAGCTCTCATCGATGTCGAGCAGTGTTTGATCAAGGCTCACCAGCTGGTTCCGCCTGTGTCTGGCTTACCGTCTCCGACTAACAACAGCGATGACGTTGAGTCATTTGACGAGAATTCGTACTACTCTAGCAAGGCGAACAGTTGGTCCTCAGAGGATGTTGATCACGCTGACCACGCCCATGCTGATGTAGCTCCACTGACTTCACAGGCGCAGCCAGCAGCCCAGCATGTGAATGTCCACTCTCGCCCGGCTGAGCCTACTGTGATCGATCTCGACGAAGAGGCCTATGAGCCGGCCGATGACATAGAAATCTATGAACCCGAGCCTGCACAACTGCATGAGGATGGTGAAGAAGAGGAAGACTACTCTCCGCCTCCAGCCGAGATCGGCCCAAGCGAGCCTCTTAGGGGTCGGCAGCGCAACCGCCATGGGGGTACGAATGGGTATGATACTAAAGAACTCTCTTACCTTCTCATTCCAACGTTTTTTCTTTTCGCATGTCGAATCACCAGCTTGGTCTTCACTACACCGGCTTATCTATTCAGCCATGATTGTATGGTAGCGAGTGTTGCCATACTGTGGACCATCAGCTCTGCTGCCTTGAGGCCAGTCATGGCTGTTCTTGCATGCCTCTCTTCGCTTCCTCATCTGTTTATATCTTCTCAATCATCTTCATACTAACGCTTTGTAGATCACGCCGTCAAAGCCCGAACGGTCCTGCAGCACCAGTTCAAAACCCTCGCAAGCGGAGAAGAGAAGAGAAGCGCGAGCGCGACGAGAAGAAGCGCCAACAACAGCAACAGGCTAGCAAACGTGTGGCCAACTCGCCCGAGCCGTACATTAAAGAAGAGCCGCAGTCACCTCCTCCTTTCGCTGCATACGCCGATTCGCAGCCCAGTAAGCGACGTGCGCTGCAGCCTCATCCCGATGAAGTAGAGCTTGTATCCGCGCAGAACAGTCCCAGGTTGCAACCTGTGTATTATCGTGATCCGGAACCTCTCACACGACCTTACCGCGAGTACGATGAGCCTTCGTCTCCAACTGTCATACGCACACCACAACGCAAATCTCTACGTGATGAACAAGATCTCAGGCGGGTCGCAAGTCTTCAATATGCACGACGACCTTACTCGCCAGGTGGTGGTGGCAATGAGTTGTACGCAGCACCCGAGCCTCGCCAGATTCGCGCAGCATCTCACGCCTTCGTCGATCGTACGGAGGCACCGATGTACCGAGAAGCGTCAGCTCGCCCATCAGCCGCACCCAGATACATACGCGAACGTTCACGATCACCTATCCATGAATACATGCCATCTCAGCAGCTCATGGCTCCACCGCCACGCCGTATTGTCGTAGATCAGTTTGGAAATAAATACTACGCAGCACCAGTGGATGCGCGAGAGTCGATGGCGCCACCTAGCAGACGAGTAGAGGTTGAGCCATACTATGAGCGCGCTGTAACGCGGGAGCCAACAATGCGTGCACCCGCACGTGCAGAGTTGTATGAAGAGGACGCTGTTCAAAGGATGCCTCCACCGCCTCGACGCTACGTTGAAGCATCAGAGTCTGAGATGATTGAGAGTCCGTATCGGCAACGGGAGCCATCCCGGCGTCCTGTAGAGGTGGAATACCGGCCTGCGCCACAATATGAAGAGATGGGCCCGCCACGAGAGTACGCGTCTGCACGATCGTACAGTATGCGCCCAGAAGTTGTTCGACGAGAAGTGCCTGAAGGTTATGTTCGCCATGAGAGCATACAGCCATCTGCGGTTCGCGCCTCACAGCCTCGATTCCGTGAGGTCAGTGTTATGCAGGAGCCTTTTGATGAGCGTCGCTATGTTGGTGCACCTCAGGGTAGGCGATATGTCGAAGAAGGACCTATCGAAGTGGCCTCAGATCCGTTTGTGGAGCCGCGTCGCATGTACACGCGCTACTAGAGCTTGTTTGAACGATAGATTTGTGTTGGATGGTTGTAGGATACCCTAGTTAGTGTGTATGAGATGGGCGTTGGTGTTGCATAGAATTGTAAGAGTCTATAGCGTTGGATAGCCATTGCTAGCGCGGTGTATTCACTTGCATTTGTATTTGGATGCAGTATCCACTCCTACTCTTGGAAGGTGCTCTTCAGTGACTCGAAGTATCAGTGTCTCAGTGCCACCTGCGCACAGGTAGGGCTCCTCGGCTGTGGTGCCGACTAGAGAGTAAGGTTTTCCGTTTTGAGTCTGGTGAGCGGGCACCCGTCATCGCACTGCAGGGGAGACGTAACCGCGCAGTGGGCTCTGACACCAAGAGATGGGCAGATCGCATCCCCACGTAGACAGATGGATCCTGAGGGGAGCGCGGACTGCCTCGAGGATCCAGCTACAAGGGCTGTTTCGTCACACACACACACACAGTGTTTCTCACGCAACCGTGCCTGTTTGACGCGCGTGGGGTGGTTGCAAAGGTGAGGGCTCGAGGCGACGAGGGCGACGAGGTTTATACTTTGTAGAAAAGAGGGTGTGATCGGAGCCCTTCTAGACTTCTATTCTTACTCGGATATGCCATGATGCTGTAATACTGAGCCTGTCTGAGCGCCGGCTATGCTTGTTTCGCGATAGACTGGCAGGGCGCCTCCCGGCCCACACGACGCAGCACAGCTCAACAGGCACTGCAAGCACGCGGACAGCACATGGCACACGACCAGAAGAAAAAAGCACGTCAAGTTGCAATTCAAGGGACCAATCTCGAAGGGCGGTAGAAGCTTCTGCTTTTGGGCTGGGGGGTGGGAAGGGGTGAATATCTTCTTTTTGTTGCACCATGGTCATGGTGTTCGTGGCCCACTAAGCACATGTGACAAGCCAATCACAGCCAGGCACCGCCTTGCTCGACGCTCGCTCGACAGCTGCTGCCCTCCGGTCTTCCTCGTCCTTCTTCTTTCTCCCACTCCCACCACCTCCCGCCCGCCAACACCTAGGGCGTCGACTCCACCACCATGCACAAATTATCAAACTTCCCGGCACAGGCCCGTCACGGCTGGGAGAAAATGGCTCCGTCCACGGCCTTTTCCTTCTCGAGGTCCAACCACGAAATGCCCGTCACAGCTCCGATCAAGCGTCCCTCGACGGCGACGTCACAGCCTCCCGTCATACCTCCCGGCACCCAGGTCAATCTGTCCTTCAACGTGCCCTTTTCATCCAACCTCGCCGGACCTGACCCGGACGACATCATGTGGGCAAGCCCGGGGGCGAAGGCGCGGTGGACTCACCCGGAAGGCACGGCAGATGCTACCCCGACACACAAGCTGCCTGTCCACGCCCAGAATGTCGACAACCTGCGGAACCTGTGTCGAGAAGTGAGCGAGCAGACTGAGGGCCGCGTCTCAGCCAACGTCACGTCGGCCGAGTCGAAGCCGTTACCCGGCCTGCAGCGGGGCCCGTTGCGGGCGCTCGTCACCAACGTGTGCCTGTCTGGCGAGTTGGAAATAGTCAACTCGATGCGCTGCCGCATCTTGAACTCGACGCCCATCTCTCTGGTAGGCTGATGATGCTGGGATTACGCCCGTGAAGCACATGCTGACGTCTTGGCACAGCGATCGTCCTTTGTCGATATCGACTCGCAGCTCATCATCGACCCGCCCTCGCAGAATGTCAAGGGTGCCGTGCTTCAACAGCTCGACATGATTTCAAAGGCCACCAAGGCTGACATCTTCCTGCTGATGCCCAAGCAGCCCGATATCGAGACGGCGAGCTTCCATGGCAACATTGACACAGGCATGGACCCGCGTCTGCGCTGTGCCATCTACGGCGATCTCGAGACCATGGAGCATGCAAAAACGCGTGTGCTGATTATGATCGACCAGATTGTGAGTTCTGCGAGCCCCACAGATGCCCGCTAGCGCAATATGCTAATCCGATGCCGTCACAGCTCAAGCGGACCGTCGATACCATGAAGCTAGAGCTGACTATGCATACGCTTATATGCGGACGTGGGCGCAAGAATATTAAGATGATCGAGTCTGCCACAGGCACAGCCATCTACTTTCCCCCACCCTTCCCTCGCCTGTTCGGCTACACACCGCCGGGTGCCCAGCGAAGGCCTGATGACCTAGTATACATTACGGGTGAGAACTCGGAAAATATACTGCGCGCCAAGCAACGTCTGCACGATCTTGTCATGTCCACCAAGGTCTTTGTGAAGCCTGTCATGGTCACTGACACCAAGCTTGACGCCATCTTGTTGGAGCGTCTGGACAAGGTGCGCAAGATTATTGAGAACAACGGCTCGTACATCCTACTGCCCCCTCTTGGCGTTCAGCGTGGTGTTGTGCGTGTCCAGGGCACTGACGTCTTGCATGTCGAGCGTACTGTGCGCGAACTGATGCAGCTTGTGAGTTTGTCGCACGCACTGTACTCGGATTTATACTAATCATAACCAGGCCGGCCAATTCTACAGTGCTTCGTGGTTCATTACCCATCCTGACCCTACGCAGCGACCACCTACCCCCGCCGATGTTCGCGCTATGCTCTCCGATATCTGCATCAACTCCGGCGCTGAAGTCAGCTTTGAGAAGCTCAACTTCCACATCTATGGATCTGACGATGCTGTCAGAGCTGCACTGATGGTCATCAGCAACATCCCATTCGTGAAGAAATCTCAGTACAACATGAGCGTCAAGATCGAGCTCGCAAACGAGCACAAGGAATTCGTCAGCGGTAAGAAGAACGGCAAGATCAACAAGATTATGAGCCACAGCAGTGTTCAGATCGTCTTCGATGGCTTCAACGAGTACAACTTCTACATCGTAGTCCGCGGTGCTCAGTACGAGGCCACAAAGAACGGTCTAGATCTTGTCGAACAGGAGATGCCTGCTTCCATCTCCTTCCATGTTCCTGACCAGTACCATAAGCGTATTATCGGTATCGGCGGTCAGCACATCCAGCGCATCATGAAGAAGTACTCTGTCTTCGTGAAGTTCTCGAACGCCATGGACCGCGGCGGCTTCGGTAAAGAGGAGGACGACATCAAGGTGGATAATGTCATCTGTCGTACTCCTGCGCGCAATGCTCAGAATCTTGACTTGGTCAAGCAAGAGATCATGGACATGGTTGAAAAGGCTGATGCCGAGTTCGTCTCTGAGACTATCAACATCAACCGCCTATACCATCGAGAACTTATTGCTCGTTTAGACAAGATCGACGAGTTGGAGAAGAAGTTCAACTGCAAGATCACTTTCCCTAGCACTGAGGAAGCTAGCGACATTGTTACGGTGTCCGGTCCTGAATATCAGGTGCCATTCGCAGTCGACGAGTTTTTGGGTATGGTTCCGGAATCCCACGATCTTGCCTTCCCCTCCACCACCGAACTCAGCGAGTACCTCCGCTCTGCCGAATTCAAGGCCGATATTCTCGACAAGCTCAAGACCCAGCACGAGGTCGATGCTCAGCTTCAGCAAGCGCAGACCGAAACTACCGATGGCAAAGAAGAGCAGATCGAAGCCTTCCACATTGTCTTCACCCGAAACAATGCTGGCGGATTGAAGGACGCCATCGACTTTCTTCTCAACAATCTAGTCATGCATGGGCTTGATACTAACACCGTCCGTGGAGCTCTCCCACGTCCCAAGTCTGACTCGTTCGAAGACTCCTTGCCCTTCTTCGAATCTAAGCTGCTCCAGCGTGCGGAGCCGGCTGTTGAGAGCACCGATTCGCCGACTCGCTCTCACTTTGGTGACGATGAGCCTCGCGGTATGCTCGACCGCCTTCGCAAACCAGGTAGCATGTCGTCCTTTACGTCCATCTTCAACGGACGTAAGAACACCAACTCACCCGGTTCGCTCTTCAAGCATGCGTCTAGCAACGCTTCGAAGGCATCCCTTGCCAGCCTTGAATCCACCGGTAGCTACCGTAACCCGTGGAACGACAGCGGCATTAACCTCGCGGACGACGAGCACCACAACAACGGCTGGCCTATGCCAGCCCCTCGTTTTGAGTCCAAGTTTCCTTTTGGTTCCTCTTCCGCGGCGCCTGGGGATGTGACCCCTAGGTACGACCCGCGGGGCTCCGTGGACAGCGGGCGCCCCAGTACTTCTCATTCTGCATCTGGATACCCGGCCCCTATTGGGCCTCCTCGTTAAGTGATACACCAATCTCGAACCATTTATTTGATACCACTACTGTACCCGGCCTTTAACGAAGAATACCCCGCTACGCGTTCATTGTCTCTTGTACGTGTGCGACGACAAAAGAATTATACCCCTCCTACTCTACGGCGAAAATACCCACGTCAAAAGCCTGGCCTGGCTGGTTGTTGTTCGCAGTCTTGTTTTCCTGTATGCGTCATTTTTGCAGTTTCTTGTTTACGGCGTTTGTTTGTTGCTCTCTGTCCGAATGATTCCCCAATTACGGCGCAAACAGAAATATATACCAATTTGCTGCTTTTCTTGTGGATTATGCGTCTTTGTTGGTCCAGTCTTCGTTGTGTGCTCAGCGTTGGGAGTGTGCGATGGGTGGGTGCAAGCTGAATACGATGGGACGATGATACCCCCGCCTGCCAGCCGTGGTGAGACGGGCACTGGTGGGCTACGAAATGGTGTATGGGTAGAAGATTTGGGTATAAAAACTGAGGGGTATGTGTGCGGTTGAATCTTTTTCCTCTCCACTCTTTGATCAATTTGCGGTGGAAGGTGGAAAAACGAATACGCAGGGATATATATGATAGACGAACGAAGAGCACATCTATACCCCATGCTCTTGATGCATTGCGCACGTGCATGTGATGCTTGGTCTGACAATGATGGTTTGAAGAGACATGCCCGAGGGTAGGCTGATTGCATCGACTCAAGTTTGAGGTTTAGGGTTGTTCAGTGTATACACCCTACTCTTTTGAGATTGCGCAGCTAACATGCTGACGAGAAGACGATCGAAAACAATCAAGAAAAGATGATTAGTCTGTGAAG